TGTGCCATGAGTAGGACTTGTGTATCTGTAAAGCTTGGAGCTGTGCCATGAGTGGGATTTGTGTATCTGTAAAGTTTGGAGCTGTGCCATGAGTAGGACTTGTGTATCTATAAAGTTTGGAGCTGTGCCATGAGTAGGACTTGTGTATCTGTAAAGTTTGGAGCTGGGCCATGAGTGGGATTTGTGTATCTGTAAAGTTTGGAGCTGTGCCATGAGTGGGATTTGTGTATCTGTAAAGTTTGGAGCTGTGCCATGAGTAGGACTTGTGTATCTGTAAAGTTTGGAGCTGTGCCATGAGTTGGACTTGTGTATCTGTAAAGTTTGGAGCTGTGCCATGAGTAGGACTTGTGTATCTGTAAAGTTTGGAGCTGTGCCATGAGTTGGACTTGTGTATCTGTAAAGTTTGGAGCTGTGCCATGAGTAGGACTTGTGTATCTGTAAAGTTTGGAGCTGTGCCATGAGTTGGACTTGTGTATCTGTAAAGTTTGGAGCTGTGCCATGAGTAGGATTTGTATATCTGTAAAATCTGAAGCTGTGCCACTAGTGGGATTAGTGTATCTGTAAAGTATTGATTTCTGAGCACACAACATGTGGTATATTTGTGGCAATCAGCTATACTGCCAGAAAGAATAATGTGCAGAATTGTATTATGGATGGAGCAGAATGTGTGTCTGTGGTGAAGTCGGCGGACATATTGCAAGCACTTGTCAATCTGATGTATCCCTGAGCCATGACATGTGACCAGAATTTTGACAATACAATCTGATGTATCCCTGAGCCATGACATGTGACCAGAATTTTGACAATACAATCTTATGTATCCATGAGCCATGACATGTGACCAGAATTTTGACAATACAATCTGATGTATCCATGAGCCATGACATGTGACCAGAATTTTGACCATAAATTAAAATAAAATAATCTGGGAGACCTGTGCTTATGTTTCTCTCAAATCTGCATCATGGAGGTCTGCGGCATACACTCCACACAATACAACTGCAGATCATACATTCAACCATAGAGCACACAAAAATATCTGATACTGTAGCACAGACCACAAGAGCAAAAATAGCCATAACAGCTGTTTCAATATTCTTTATTTTTGCACAAAACGCAAGCAAACACAGGTGTATGCAGCAAGAATGGTATAAACACAAAGTGATCGGTGGCAGGTAAGAAATCTCTAGCACACAGCATCATCTAGAGACAGCGTGCACAGAAGAAAACAACCAAGTTCGGTTAGGTAACAAGTCTTGAGATCAACAAGGAAAAATTGCTGTAAATTATTTACTGATGAAAGACATTAGACTAACTGGATAAATATGTCACAACTAAAACAGCTCCGACACAACACACCCACATTTTAGAGCAATAAAAGTGCACACACAGGAACTTGCATTGGCCAAAGTTGGCAGTGCAAACATTGGCTTCAGTCGGCAGCACGAACACATGTCCTTACATTGGCTTCAGTCAGCAGTGGGAACACATGTCCTTACATTGGCTTCAGTCGGCAGCACGAACACATGTCCTTACATTGGCTTCAGTCGGCAGCGTGAACATATGTCCTTACATTGGCGGCAATAATTGCAGACTTGCATCAACAGGGATACAACTTTCCTTTTACAGACTGAATTAAGAATAAATCATTTATCCCCAGCCTTTCCCATCTGTGTCTTTAGGTGTACAGATATTTTATGGTCTGAATGTGGTTTCCTTTTCTACCCTTGTATGTAAGTTACGTTAATCTTTCTTCCATGCTCTGTGATTCACTCACAACCACCTGTTTACAGATGTGGTTTCCTTTTCTACCCTTGTATGTAAGTTATATAATCTTTCTTACATGCTCTGTGATTCACTCACAACCACCTGTTTACAGATGTGGTTTCCTTTTCTACCCTTGTATGTAAGTTATATAATCTTTCTTACATGCTCTGTGATTCACTCACAACCACCTGTTTACAGATGTGGTTTCCTTTTCTACCCTTGTATGTAAGTTATATAATCTTTCTTACATGCTCTGTGATTCACTCACAACCACCTGTTTACAGATGTGGTTTCCTTTTCTACCCTTGTATGTAAGTTATATAATCTTTCTTACATGCTATGTGATTCACTCACAACCACCTGTTTACAGATGTGGTTTCCTTTTCTACCCTTGTATGTAAGTTATATAATCTTTCTTACATGCTCTGTGATTCACTCACAACCACCTGTTTACAGATGTGGTTTCCTTTTCTACCCTTGTATGTAAGTTATATAATCTTTCTTACATGCTCTGTGATTCACTCACAACCACCTGTTTACAGATGTGGTTTCCTTTTCTACCCTTGTATGTAAGTTATATAATCTTTCTTACATGCTCTGTGATTCACTCACAACCACCTGTTTACAGATGTGGTTTCCTTTTCTACCCTTGTATGTAAGTTATATAATCTTTCTTACATGCTCTGTGATTCACTCACAACCACCTGTTTACAGATGTGGTTTCCTTTTCTACCCTTGTATGTAAGTTATATAATCTTTCTTACATGCTCTGTGATTCACTCACAACCACCTGTTTACAGATGTGGTTTCTTTTCTACCCTTGTATGTAAGTTATATAATCTTTCTTACATGCTCTGTGATTCACTCACAACCACCTGTTTACAGATGTGGTTTCCTTTTCTACCCTTGTATGTAAGTTATATAATCTTTCTTACATGCTCTGTGATTCACTCACAACCACCTGTTTACAGATGTGGTTTCCTTTTCTACCCTTGTATGTAAGTTATATAATCTTTCTTACATGCTCTGTGATTCACTCACAACCACCTGTTTACAGCTGGTTCTTAAGCCAGCAGTGACTGCCTCCATCTCAAACTAAATGTGATAACATGCCAGACTTTGCTGCTCTAAGCTTTTGCTACGAACCTCGTGCACTTCTGCCTCTCAACACACAGCCATCTGTAGAATCACATCAACTGGACAGGATTTGTTATGAAAGTTGCTCAACTTCTAACTCATGGCCAGTCCCTGCACCCACAGGCCAGTCCCTGCACCCACAGGCCAGTCCCTGCACCCACAGGCCAGTCCCTGCACCCACAGGCCAGTCCCTGCACCCACAGGCCAGTCCCTGCACTCACAGGCCAGTCCCTGCACCCACAGGCCAGTTCCTGCACTCATGGCCAGTCCCTGCACCCACAGGCCAGTCCCTGCACTCACAGGCCAGTCCCTGCACCCGCAGGCCAGTCCCTGCACCCACAGGCCAGTCCCTGCACTCATGGCCAGTCCCTGCACCCACAGGCCAGTCCCTGCACTCATGGCCAAATGTGATAAGAACCCTAAAAAACCTGACTGTTGATTGCGACACTTTGACCTACTTGACTCCTTGCCCAATATTCTTCAGCCTGCATGTATATCTGACTGTGTCTTTAGTGTGTGCCATTCGAAACCTTCCTCTTGTCAGTCTGTAACCCTTAACTCTGAACTTCATGCTGCAGGTTCTTGTTTGCATCTACTCTGAGATATGATTTTGCTTGCAGCGCTTGAGCCTATCTGTAACAGTCAGAAGTGCAAGCCTATCTGGCATATGTAGATCCCAGAATTACCCTCATGGTTTCATTGAGTCTGCGTTCAAGTTTTATCAACTGACTCTTTAGTATGATAAGCATTTCAAGTCCATAATCCATCACTGATAGGATCAAGTGCTGGAACATTGTAAAAACTGAATACAGAGGATATTTAAGGTCTTGTGTAAAGTTTCTTCTTCAAGGTCATGTTGTGTCTTCAATTGTTGAACTAAGTGAGATGCAGCTCCAGAGAGTGATGTATTTCTGGAGCTGTTGGTTGGTCTGTAACATTGTTACAAACATCCACACAGACACAGCACTGTTGGTTCATCTGTCTGTAACATTGTTACAAACATCCACAGCACTGTTGGTTCATCTGTCTGTAACATTGTTACAAACATCCACAGCACTGTTGGTTCATCTGTCTGTAACATTGTTACAAACATCCACACAGACACAGCACTGATAGCAAATTAAAAATACTCACAACCAATCACAGATCATTACCAAGAAATGAGAAGTCACTTCCAAATATGCACAATTATCTCCCCCCCCCCCCCCCCCCCCAAAAAAAAGAGATAATCAATCATGCACACACAGACATAGAAACCATAAAACAAACAAAGAAGTCAAGCAGCAGCTGATACTAGGGCACAAAACAACACAAGTTAAGGCAACACATTCTTTAACTGGATAGTTCCCGGCAAACACAGTTCCTGGCATACGCAGGCAACCAGTCTATCACAGAGTAGGTCAGAAAAACACCAATAGCCACAATACGTGGACATGTGGTCACCAACAGCCACAGTACGTGGATATGGGGTCACCAACAGCCACAGTATGTGGATATAGGGTCACCAAAAGCCACAGTACGTGGATATGGATGGGGTCACCAACAGCCACAGTACGTAGATATCAGGTCACCAACAGCCACAGTACGTGGATATGGATGGGGTCACCAACAGCCACAGTACGTGGATATGGATGGGGTCACCAACAGCCACAGTACGTGGATATGGATGGGGTCACCAACAGCCACAGTACGTGGATATAGGGTCACCAGCAGCCACAGTAAGTGGATATAGGGTCACCAAAAGCCACAGTATGTGGATATAGGGTCACCAACAGCCACAGTATGTGGATATAGGGTCACCAAAAGCCACAGTACGCAGATATGGGATCACCAACAGCCACAGTAAGTGGATATAGGGTCACCAAAAGCCACAGTACGTGGATATGGGGTCACCAACAGCCACAGTACGTGGATATAGGGTCACCAGTAGCCACAATATGTGGACGTATGGTCATCAACAGCCACAGTACCTGGATATGGGGTCACCAACAGCCACAGTATGTGGACATATGGTCATCAACAGCCATGGTCACCAAATAACAGAATCAAGCCCTGGTATTAATATGAATTAACATGAAATGACAACAAAGCACTTATTAATACGATTCGCTGGCGGCTCTGAATACAAGAATACTGTTGAAGATTTTCACGGCAGGTCCCAATTTGATGTTGAGAAAGTTCAGAAGGTCACTCTGTTGTAGCAGCAGAAAGGAATCACCGTCCACTTGCTGAGGAGAGACCACAAAATGATAGTGAACATACTAGCCAATGCCGGCTGCCAAAATAAAAGACATTGAACCAACTCAGTCAAAAATCTACAGCTGGTGGCTTCTTGTAGTGCAGAGATGGAAATACAGTCTCACATATTATCTACAGCCTGGGCTGCTGTAACTAATCTGGTAATCTTAGTTTTAGCTTCATAGCAAACGGGATACCCCATAGTTGCTCCGCTCCTGTGCCAACGAAAAACACACAGAATGTTTATCACAGTCCCTTGTGGAAAGATCGACAGACTGCTGTCTCAGTATATGCACTAGCATGCATTAAAAGTATTCGGTAGCCATCAGAAGTACTAACACAAACAGTCCGACATTAGAAATGCAGTTCATCATGGATGATAGCAGAAGTTACCAACAGATCAGCAGTTGCACATGTGATCAATTTTAATCACATAATGGCACCACCAACATTGCGAACACGGGCATCGCACCATTTTCTGAAGCTTCAATTCACACCACCACGTTGGTCACAGTAAAAAAACATTCCAAATGAAATCCGCAGCTCACAGTGTCACGCCATGCACTCAACTCAGAAGCTGGGTGACGAAACTATCCTCAGTCTACAAATGGAGCAAAAATGCACCAGCCACCATCTGGCAGAAGCAAAAAAAAAAAAAAAAAAAAATTGCCACAATTCACAACAGTGACTGTGGCTAGCGTCCACTTTGACCGGAAGCTTATTCTCTGTAACTAATGATAACGACTGGTGCCTTGTGAGCAACTACTACCTGTTCTCTGTAACTAATGATAATGACTGGTGCCTTGTGAGCAACTGCTGCCTGTTCTCTGTAACTAATGATAACGAGTAGTGCCTTGTGAGCAACTGCTACCTGTTCTCTGTAACTAATGATAACGACTGGTGCCTTGTGAGCAACTACTACCTGTTCTCTGTAACTAATGATAATGACTGGTGCCTTGTGAGCAACTACTACCTGTTCTCTGTAACTAATGATAATGACTGGTGCCTTGTGAGCAACTGCTTCCTGTTCTCTGTAACTAATGATAACGACTGGTGCCTTGTGAGCAACGGCTACCTGTTCTCTGTAACTAATGATAACGACTGGTGCCTTGTGAGCAACTGCTGCCTGTTCTCTGTAACTGTTGTGGTGGAAGTGCTGAAGTCAGGAAACAACAAAAGTTTTCTCTGCAATGAGCAGTCACAATGGCGTCTTAGAGACCAGGATGAACACCTGACAATACAACTAAGAAAGAAAAGAGATGAGAAAAACAACAGACCTCTGCCTTGAACTTGTGAGAAAAGAGAAAACAACAGACCTCTGCCTTGAACTTGTGTGCCTGCTCCTCGTTGCCTGTCAGTTTTAAAACAAAAGCCGCCACTTCATCGACTGTCCAGGTGGAGACGACAGCCTGGCTGACCTCGGTGATGCCAGGAAGGAGTTTGGCGTGCTGCTCCCAGCAGAGAGACTGATCCACTGTCCCTGGGGATGGAGCCGTTGACTGAAACACAGACTCATGGATGCTAGCGTGGAGAGAACTTCTATCCTCGCTCACATCTGCATTCAAACAAAGCAAACAACTGTCAGTTAATTGAGTCTGTCATCATAAGCGAGCTAACAACTTCATAACTTGTTTCTTATAACTGGAGCTACCTTACTTCAGTAGTGCACAGTCCAGCCTCTTAAAGCCCAACCCCACATCTAGGTTAAACAGAACAAAGTAGGGGATTGCTACAATTGGACCAGGTGTGGTGTGGCCTTTTGCTATGGGGTTGCTACGGAAGTCATGAAAGCCATCCTGGATCACTCCAAAACATCCAGGACAACAGGCAATGGATTCATTCTGGCTAAAGAGAATACCCTGAGATATAAACACATTGATCAAATGGCATTCGACCATGGCAAGGTTAAAGGACCATGGGACAGAAAAGCCAAATGAGTTGAGTCAAGAACTGACATCACAGCACTGGGGGCATTTCCATACATGCTTCGTCCTCATCTTCAGCAGCCAGCGCAGAGTTCCAATACTGATGGTACCGGTCTCAATCTGGTTACAAGTCCGTCTTGCCTACCTCTGAGTGTAGTGAGCCGGCAAGATCCTCTGGTTACACCAAGATGCCTCATTCTCTCAAGGCCATAATAATCTTATATCTCTACTGATTCCATTGCTTGTTCCCAAAGGGCCTTGACCACATCTGCCTCGTAATGTATCAATTCATCATCCAGTGGTGCAGATCCAGCCAATCTCTCTGCCTGTTCATTACCCACCATGACTGCATGGCCTGGAGAAAAGAGCCAAAGTATGCTCACTACCCGTGACCTTTCAGGTGAAGCTAGCCACTCTGCTCGAAGCATCCCTGTCTTCACTTTTTTCAGCATGCTTTCAGAGTCTGTTACAATTACGACATGTTTATGCATCTTGTTCTGTAGCCACTGGAGAGCTGCAGTTACCGCCTCAACCTCCATTCTCATGCTAGACGTTGTGGTGTCATATGCCAGGCTGTCTTGCACTAAAGATGTTCCATTGGCTTTCGCTACGAACCCCCAGGCACTTCTCTTTCCCATCAGCACCAAACCATCTGTATAGATAATCAGATCACCTGGGCATGAATCAACTGTGGGACCCACCTCCGCAGCACCTGCTGGCCACTCTCTGCACACCCGGCCCAAGGTTAGACATTCCGGCTGGTACTCTGACCCACTCCTCCCCTCAACCAATGTTCTCCAGCATGCATACTTGTCTTATTGTGTCTTCTGTTTGAGCCATCCACGACTTCCTTTTCCTCAGCCGCACACTCTTAACTGCATCCAGCGCTTCACGTAAAAGGTGATCTGTGTCTGCAACTACTCTGAGGTATGACTTTGCCTGCAGCACATTGCACCTACCTGCAACAGTTGGCAAACCAAGGATGTATCACACATACACCACTGGGGTTCCCCGTGTGGGTTCTGGGACCCTGTTATAGGGAAAACAAGAACAGACCCACTGCCTACCCAAAAGCATGTTGTAAGAGTCGACTAATTGGGAGCTTCCTTCAAAGTCTGAGTATATCTGCCCGAGAGGCAAGGAACCAGCAGTCTGCACACAGATTAGTCAGATCTGTCAAACGGATGTACACGCAACACTCAAGTTCTGGAACAGGACTGCAGTCCAGAAGTGGACGAACAACCAGAACTTTCCACCACAGTATACAGCTGGTGAACGCGAAGAAGAAGAAGACCACTTGGGTGTCTCTGGTACAGCCTCCCCAAAATGATTTGCATTCTGTATGCGCTCTAGTTTAACCAGCTGAATTTTTAAGACAGTGAGCAGTCACAGTCCATAATTAGCCTCTGAGAAAACCAGGTGCTGATATAGGGTGAAAAGTATTCTCTACCCTAAGTCCACTGCAGCCATAGTCTTAAGTGCATTGAGTCCATTCTGGCATCTTGTCACAACCGTCTCCACATGGCCCTTGAAGGTCAGGCTCTTGTCAAATGTAATTCCCAGATACTTCAGTTTGCTCTCTCTGTTGACGTTTCTACCATCTATCCTGTTGTCTAGAGAACACCACATAACAGACAGAAGAAGAAAAGAAGCAACCAACACAAGCTTCAAATTAATTTGTGATTTTACCAACAGCATGTCTAAGAGAAGCAATCACACTCTCTCTTGTTTACCTCACAGTACAAATGAGGACCAGATTTGACAACTGAATCATGTACTAAAGTTGCCACCCTTTGGACATGTCTCACCTTCTGTTTCTTCTGTCTTTATCACTTTGTCTGTGGCCCCCTGACACAGTGATGGTGACTTCCTGAAACACACACACAGATAACCAACAGACTCAGGATATAACGTATGTTCCCCAAACACATTCATGAAACACATACACAGATAACCAACAGACTCAGGATATAATGTGTGTTCCCCTAACACATTTATGAAACACATACAGAGATAACCAACAGACTCAGGATATAACGTATGTTCCCCAAACACATTCATGAAACACATACACAGATAACCAACAGACTCAGGATATAATGTATGTTCCCCAAACACATTCATGAAACACATACAGAGATAACCAACATACTCAGGATATAATGTATGTTCCCCAAACACATTCATGCAACACAGAGAGATAACCAACATACTCAGGATATAACGTATGTTCCCCTAACACATTCATGAAACACACACACAGATAACCAACATACTCAGGATATAACGTATGTGGATTCTGACAGACAGTTATCAAAGGATACTATTTGCTGTTTATCAGAAAAAAATGATCTCACTATTTTGACCGAGTTATTGTTGGTTTTCAAGGTTTTTAATTTGTTAATGAGAATATCACGATCTACCATATCGAAGGCTTTCTAAAGTCCACAAACACTGCCCCACAAATGTTACCACTGTTGATATTAAAATGCCAGTTGTCGGTCATGTTTGCGAAGGCGGTGTTGCAAGAATGTTTAAGCCTGAAGCCTGATTATGGATTATTAAGTTATTTTTAGTTAAATGCTGCAGTGTAATGTTGTGTATGTGTTTCTCGAACGGTTCTGATAGTGAGAGGAGAGAAATGGGTCTATAATTACCTGGAAAGTTTATGTCTGCTGAGCCAGGTTTAAGCTGAGGATACACTCTGGCAGCTTCAAATGCTGATAGAAAGTAGTTTTTAGTAAGACACTGATTGTATATGAACGTTAAGGAATAGCTAATAACTGGTGCAGCACAACGAAGAATATCCAAGCTAGATGAGTTTGTTTGCTTGGCTTTTTTACCCCACCAGGACATCACACAAGCGATAAACACCCAATGACACAAAGTGCCACCATGCGGATGAGGATCACCGTGGAGAGGTCCCAGATTTTGTTTGCTTGAGATTGGAGAGATATTTATACACATCATCATCAACAGGTATAAGGGGAATCTTAGAAAGGATATCTGTAAGGCACTTTTCCTCATAGAATGCTAGTAAACTTGAGTCACACTGTGAGTCTAGTATTGTGGACTTTAAATCCTCTATTTCTGATTTAAAGAAAGAATTGAAATCAACACATGTTAGAATTCGATATTGTTCTGTCTGAAGATTTCTAGTTGGTTAGCATGTTAATAGCCTTCCATATATCTGCACTTTGTTATGTCTGTAATTAATTTGTTGAAGTATATTTCTTATTTTTATGAATTAAATATTGGACTTTATTTCTCAATTTATAGTAAAGTTCAAAATTGTTAGTGATCCAGGTCAATTTAGTTGAATGTTTCTCTCTAATTTCTTCAATTGGCACATGTTTATCGAATACACTGTAGACCGTTTTCATCCAGTAGGCTCTAGCCTCGTCCGGTTCAGGAAGCTGATATACATGGTCTAGCTGTGAGTTTGGCAAATTGTGTACAAATAAATTTTAATTACAAGTTTTGACATTTCTACATTTAATTGTAAGATATCTATCTTGAGCAGTTTTGAACCTGGTTTCTGACCACGTAGAGCATACTGGAAAATGATCGCTAATAGCAGTGGCAGAGACAGAACATTCAATGATATTTGCTGGTTAAGAGACATTTATGTGATCAATTATAGTTGGTGAAGTTTCTGTAATTCTCTTGGAGGTTTAATTAACCATTATTGATTATATGATATAATGATATTGCTCCATGTCTGGCTGGGTTATTGATTATATGATATCATGATATTGCTCCATGTCTGGCTGGGTTATTGATTATATGATATCATGATATTGCTCCATGTCTGGCTGGGTTATTGATTATATGATATCATGATATTGCTCCATGTCTGGCTGGGTTATTGATTATATGATATCATGATATTGCTCCATGTCTGGCTGGGTTATTGATTATATGATATCATGATATTGCTCCATGTCTGGCTGGGTTATTGATTATATGATATCATGATATTGCTCCATGTCTGGCTGGGTTATTGATTATATGATATCATGATATTGCTCCATGTCTGGCTGGGTTATTGATTATATGATATCATGATATTGCTCCATGTCTGGCTGGGTTATTGATTATATGATATCATGATATTGCTCCATGTCTGGCTGGGTTATTGATTATATGATATCATGATATTGCTCCATGTCTGGCTGGGTTATTGATTATATGATATCATGATATTGCTCCATGTCTGGCTGGGTTATTGATTATATGATATCATGATATTGCTCCATGTCTGGCTGGGTTATTGATTATATGATATAATGATATTGCTCCATGTCTGGCTGGGTTATTGATTATATGATATCATGATATTGCTCCATGTCTGGCTGGGTTATTGATTATATGATATCATGATATTGCTCCATGTCTGGCTGGGTTATTGATTATATGATATCATGATATTGCTCCATGTCTGGCTGGGTTATTGATTATATGATATCATGATATTGCTCCATGTCTGGCTGGGTTATTGATTATATGATATCATGATATTGCTCCATGTCTGGCTGGGTTATTGATTATATGATATCATGATATTGCTCCATGTCTGGCTGGGTTATTGATTATATGATATCATGATATTGCTCCATGTCTGGCTGGGTTATTGATTATATGATATCATGATATTGCTCCATGTCTGGCTGGGTTATTGATTATATGATATCATGATATTGCTCCATGTCTGGCTGGGTTATTGATTATATGATATCATGATATTGCTCCATGTCTGGCTGGGTTATTGATTATATGATATCATGATATTGCTCCATGTCTGGCTGGGTTATTGATTATATGATATCATGATATTGCTCCATGTCTGGCTGGGTTATTGATTATATGATATCATGATATTGCTCCATGTCTGGCTGGGTTATTGATTATATGATATCATGATATTGCTCCATGTCTGGCTGGGTTTAATTTTGTCAATGTTAAAATCACCAAGCAGAATAATTTCCTTGCCTAAACTAAAAACTTTATCCAACATAGAAGTGAAGTCTTCATACCTGTTGTTACCTGCATAAGGATTTTGATACAGGTAACAAATGAAAAGTGACTGCTAATTGAAAGGTTTGACTTCCATCCAGACACAGTCGACAGCCTCTGATTCTAGATCAAATCTACGAGACTATTTAAGAGAATCTGAAACATAAACTACTATGCCTGTCTCTAATTTTTTTCAGTATGGCAATAAAGACTAGGAAACCTCTGACATTACCTTTTACGGCCGCGGCCTGGACGCCCAACAGGTCTAGGTTCTGGCACATTCTCCTGTTTAATTTTGGCGAGGTTCTTCTCTGCCAGGGGGCACCCTGAGAGGCAGTGGTGGGAGGTAAACTTGCCGGTCACATGACCCAATCCATCACAACCCAGGGTCGGACATTTCCTGCAGAAAAACAAGATCTGGTGACAGCAGAGAACAGTAGAGACACCAACACATGTCTCAGAAGATCACAGAAACAGGTACAACTGATTTCTGCCAAACAATAAGCGTAGCTGAATCAAGAATGCTTTCTGACTATTTAAAAAAAAAAAAAGAATACCTGATTCAGACTGGCAAGCTATTACAGGGTGCTTGAAGAGGGATGTAAAAGAAGAATGGTGTAGGTACAACTGGGAAACATTACAGCTGGCCATTCTGCCATGTAGCGACACGGTGCCCTTTCAGCCGTAGAGAAATGAACCCAGAGAAACATTCTCTGTAGAAATCAGAGCAAGAAATCAGTCCATACATGTCCCTGTATGGGTTCCTGGGCCCCACTGGGAACAACAAGAACAGACCCACTGCCTCCCTAAGAAGCATTTGGTAACAGTCGGCCATTTCAAAGTTGGAATGGATCTACCCAAGAGATGAGAAACCAACAGCTTGCATACAAATCAGCCAGATCTGTAAAATTGATGTAAATAAAAAACTTAAGTTCTGGAAAAAGACTACCTCCCACCAGAAGTGGACAAACAACCAGAACTTTCTGCCAGAGTTTACAGCTCGTGACCCTGGAGAAGTGGAATACATATATGGCACATTCTGACAGAGATATGACAAGTTTTACTAACCTCATATCTGCTGACCCGTCATATCTAGCAGGCAGGCCGCCCCCTTCCTCTGATCGAGAAGATCCCAGCCGATCAGTCAAGGCTGAGTCCTTGCTCATGTTGACCTCTGAGTAAGGACAGCCAAATGCACTGTAATAGATATTCACAAGGTCTAGGTCACTCACAGCAAACAAATAAGAGTCTTGCTGAGAACACACACACACACATGCATATACACACATAGATATAAGAACATTCTATCTTGCCTGAGGTCAGAGATAATTATCATCATGTTCCTAGCCAGACGGCTGTGTGTTCACGTCTGCCTTGAGGTAGAACCAAATGTGACATGCGTCTGCTAACATGGTCTACCTTCTACACACAGCAGTGGCCTCTCCCTGTGCTCTAGTGTCATGTGTCTGCCGTCTACAGTGGCCTCCCCCAGTGATCTAGTGTCATGTGTCTGCCGTTTACATACAGTGGTCTCTCCCTGTGATCTAGTGTCATGTGTCTGCCGTCTACACATAGTGACCTCTTCCTGTGATCTAGTGTCATGTGACTGCCGTCTACACACAGTGGCCTCTGCCTGTGATCTAGCGTCATGTGTCTGCTAACATGGTCTGCCCTCTACATACAGTGGCCTCTCCCTGTGATCTAGTGTCATGTGTCTGCCGACTACACATAGTGACCTCTTCCTGTGATCTAGTGTCATGTGTCTGCCGTCTACACACAGTGGCCTCTCCCTGTGATCTAGTGTCATGTGTCTGCTAACATGGTCTGCCCTCTACACACAGTGGCCTCTCCCTGTGATCTAGTGTCATGTGTCTGCTAACATGGTCTGCCCTCTACATACAGTGGCCTCTCCCTGTGATCTAGCGTCATGTGTCTGCTAACATGGTCTGCCCTCTACACACAGTGGCCTCTTCCTGTGCTCTAGTATTTCCTGCAGAGTTGCCATATCTGTCTATCTAGTCTGTTGCTCCAACAGATGTTGGACAGATTAGATATTATATGATCTCAGGATGGCAACAATATTTTGTATGTAAACAAGTGTCTCAGAACCAAGTGTCAGTGGTGACAATTCGGCCAAATTGACATGTCTGGCAGCAGGTAAACAATCCACCACACCAGCAGCCAGTTTCTGACAGAAAAACTAGTATTACCAAACACAAAAGCGGTATTACTTACCTGTAATGTCATGTGTACAAACACAAAAGCAACATTACTTACCTGTAATGTCATGTGTACAAACACAAAAGCAACATTACTTACCTGTGATGTCATGTGTAACATCACATGTACAAACACAAAAGTGGTATTACTTACCTGTGATGTTGTGTGTACAAAAGGCAGTATTACTTACCTGTGATGTTGTGTGTACAAACGCAAAAGCAGTATTACTTACCTGTGAGGCTGTGTGTACAAACACAAAAGCAGTATTACTTACCCGTGATGTTGTGTGTACAAAGATAAAAGCAGTATTACTTACCTGTGATGTGTGTAGAAACACAAAAGTAGTACTACTTACCTGTGATTTTCTTCTTCTTCTTCGCGTTCACCAGCTGTACACTCTGGTAAAAAGTTCTGGTTGCTCGTCCACTACTGAACTGCAGTCCTGCTCCAGAACCTGAGTGTTGCGTGTGCATCAGTTTTACAGATCTCATTCTCTTGAATACAGACTGTTGGTTCCTTGCCTCTCCGGCAGATGCACTCCGACTTCAAAGGAAGCTCCCCAATTAGTCAACTCTTTTGGGTAGGCAGTGGGTCTATTCTTGTTTTCCCCGCAATGGGGCCTCGGAACCCACACTGGGGCTTACCTGTGATGTTGTGTGTACAAACACAAAAGCAGTATTACTTACCTGTGATGTTGTGTGTACAAACACAAAAGTAGTACTACTTACCTGTGATGTCCTGTGTACTTTGCACCTTTGATGTGACCAATGCCATTATTACTTACCTGTGATGTTGTGTGTACAAACACAAAAGCAGTATTACTTACCTGTGATGTTGTGTGTACAAACACAAAAGCAGTATTACTTACCTGTGATGCTGTGTGTACAAACACAAAAGCAGTATTACTTTCCTGTGATGGTGTGTGTACAAACACCAAGCAGTATTACTTACCTGTGATGCGCTGTGTACAAACACAAAAGCAGTTTTACTTACCTGTGATGTCCTGTGTACTTTGCACCTTTGATGTGACCAATGCCATTACAGCCAACAGTCGGACATCCTCCGGAATCAGAACTGTGTTTGAGAATCTTCTGGTCTGAAATTTGGCAGGGAATCATGACTTGTGTCAAAAATACATACATACACTCATTCAAAGGCTAACAATATTTGACATGAAATGAAAACAGAGCCACCGAGCATGCAACCATCAAGCCAACACTGGGAATAAACAAGGCAGGCTCAGGGAAATGGTTAGTTTATATTTGCATAAACCAGACAAACAACAACAACAAAAGCATGCAGTTTAACAGATACATTTTTAATCCAGCCATGTCAAAGATGTAAAAACTGCACACCAGGGAGATGATTGGTCGCAGACCATGAGGCAGACCAAGAAGACGATGAAGAGATAATATCCACACAGACCTGCAAACACTGGTGTCACCAACTGGAAAGACCAGGCCAACCAGAGATATGAATGGAGGCGGGTGATATCTGCAGCAATGAACCTCAAGGGCTCAGAATGCTGAAGAAGAAGAAGAAGTCAGAGATGAAGAAATCATACAGTTGGACTGGCCAGTAGAGTAATAAAAATAATCGCTTGTGTGTGCAAACAAGTAGAAAGTGGACAACATAAAACTGTTCAGCACACAAAGGTGCACAATAAAAAACAAAATAAAACTGAAGCAGAAGTGGAGCATACAAACTGTTCCACTAAAAACTAAAATGGAAACAAATGGACTTATTAAAAAAACCCACATCCACTAACCTATTGGACTTTGAAGAGGATGGAACGTCTTACTGCACCAAAGAGGAGGGTGAAGCTCACTGCTGTCGTCATCAATCCAGTAGTCATAAATAGAGTCCCAGCCATCAAAATGGATGAGCAGGCGGTAATCCTGCACATCCGCAATCGTAGCAACTCGGATCAGGATTGGATTCCGTTTATCCATCACCTCCACTTTCATTCCCTTCTCAAACCCCATTGCTGTACGCTGGAGGAAAAAACACGTCAACAGTTAGAAATGGAAAACATACCCACTATCATCATCACCATCATTCAACCGGCTGATAGGTCAGTCATGCACAAGCAAATGGTTGCGACAATGAATGGATCAATGGCTGGAATGCTACCATAACATATATAATCTGGGCCTTTTTAACCAGCACCATAAAAATTAAAAAAAAAAAAAAAAAAGCACTTTTGTTATTGCACTGGTACTTTTTTCGAAGACTCTTGTGGCACATCCATACAATACATACTCTTTAATTTCTTCTTTCTCTGCTCTGCCTGATCTAAACGAAGGTAAAGATAAAGAAAACAAAAAAGCAGGAACTTTTGAGATCTTCAATCATCACGTGACAGAAACCTCAGACTGTTCACATGTCAACTCCAAGTGGGGTAGCGAGCAAAACAGACCAGTAAAAGACATGCTAACACCTCTGGAAGATACAGCTACTTACAGTTTTGAAGGCCCGAGCTGGAACAGCGGTCGAGTGGGTTTCCTGGAGATACTGGTCCCAGCTGAAGTTGCCCCCGTCTGAGTAATCTGAGGGGATACAAGGCCAACAGGTACACGTCAATAATGCTAGGTCAAATATACAACGCAGCTCAACTTCTAAATAACATCCATCACAACTTCCAACCAAAATTCACCATGAACAACTTTCAACTGACATCCACCATAAACAACTTTCAACTGACATCCACCATAAACCACTTTTAACTCACTTTTCTGTTCTCATGTCAATATCTGCTTTGTGCCGCAGTTTGTGTTCAGTTCAACAAGGAGAGGTAGCTCAGCTAGGGTACCAGTGACTCCTCCAATCCACATTCTTCTAGGTCTTTCTCTGCCTCTTGGGTTTCCATTCTCACAATGTGTGCACTTGCTGCAGGCACAGCTGATTCTCTCTCACAATGTGTGCACTTGCTGCAGGCACAGCTGATTCTCTCTCACAAGGTGTGCACTTGCTGCAGGCACAGCTGATTCTCTCTCACAAGGTGTGCACTTGCTGCAGGCACAGCTGATTCTCTCTCACAAGGTGTGCACTTGTTGCAGGCACAGCTGATTCTCTCTCACAAGGTGTGCACTTGCTGCAGGCACAGCTGATTCTCTCTCACTAGGTGTGCACTTGCTGCAGGCACAGCTGATTCTCTCTCACTAGGTGTGCACTTGCTGCAGGCACAGCTGATTCTCTCTCACAATGTGTGCACTTGCTGCAGGCACAGCTGATTCTCTCTCACAATGTGTGCACTTGCTGCAGGCACAGCTGATTCTCTCTCACTAGGTGTGCACTTGCTGCAGGCACAGCTGATTCTCTCTCACTAGGTGTGCACTTGCTGCAGGCACAGCTGATTCTCTCTCACTAGGTGTGCACTTGCTGCAGGCACAGCTGATTCTCTCTCACTAGGTGTGCACTTGCTGCAGGCACAGCTGATTCTCTCTCACTAGGTGTGCACTTGCTGCAGGCACAGCTGATTCTCTCTCACAATGTGTGCACTTGCTGCAGGCACAGCTGATTCTCTCTCACAATGTGTGCACTTGCTGCAGGCACAGCTGATTCTCTCTCACAATGTGTGCACTTGCTGCAGGCACAGCTGATTCTCTCTCACAATGTGTGCACTTGCTGCAGGCACAGCTGATTCTCTCTCACAATGTGTGCACTTGCTGCAGGCACAGCTGATTCTCTCTCACTAGGTGTGCACTTGCTGCAGGCACAGCTGATTCTCTCTCACTAGGTGTGCACTTGCTGCAGGCACAGCTGATTCTCTCTCACTAGGTGTGCACTTGCTGCAGGCACAGCTGATTCTCTCTCACTAGGTGTGCACTTGCTGCAGGCACAGCTGATTCTCTCTCACTAGGTGTGCACTTGCTGCAGGCACAGCTGATTCTCTCTCACTAGGTGTGCACTTGCTGCAGGCACAGCTGATTCTCTCTCACTAGGTGTGCACTTGCTGCAGGCACAGCTGATTCTCTCTCACTAGGTGTGCTTTTGCTGCAGGCACAGCTGATTCTCTCTCACTAGGTGTGCACTTGCTGCAGGCACAGCTGATTCTCTCTCACTAGGTGTGCTTTTACTGCAGGCACAGCTGATTCTCTCTCACTAGGTGTGCACTTGCTGCAGGCACAGCTGATTCTCTCTCACAATGTGTGCACTTGCTGCAGGCACAGCTGATTCTCTCTCACAAGGTGTGCACTTGCTGCAGGCACAGCTGATCCTCTCTCACTAGGTGTGCACTTGCTGCAGGCACAGCTGATTCTCTCTCACTAGGTGTGCACTTGCTGCAGGCACAGCTGATTCTCTCTCACAATGTGTGCACTTGCTGCAGGCACAGCTGATTCTCTCTCACAATGTGTGCACTTGCTGCAGGCACAGCTGATTCTCTCTCACTAGGTGTGCACTTGCTGCAGGCACAGCTGATTCTCTCTCACAATGTGTGCACTTGCTGCAGGCACAGCTGATTCTCTCTCACTAGGTGTGCACTTGCTGCAGGCACAGCTGATTCTCTCTCACTAGGTGTGCACTTGCTGCAGGCACAGCTGATTCTCTCTCACTAGGTGTGCACTTGCTGCAGGCACAGCTGATTCTCTCTCACTAGGTGTGCACTTGCTGCAGGCACAGCTGATTCTCTCTCACTAGGTGTGCACTTGCTGCAGGCACAGCTGATTCTCTCTCACTAGGTGTGCACTTGCTGCAGGCACAGCTGATTCTCTCTCACTAGGTGTGCACTTGCTGCAGGCACAGCTGATTCTCTCTCACTAGGTGTGCACTTGCTGCAGGCACAGCTGATTCTCTCTCACTAGGTGTGCACTTGCTGCAGGCACAGCTGATTCTCTCTCACAAGGTGTGCACTTGCTGCAGGCACAGCTGATTCTCTCTCACAATGTGTGCACTTGCTGCAGGCACAGCTGATTCTCTCTCACTAGGTGTGCACTTGCTGCAGGCACAGCTGATTCTCTCTCACTAGGTGTGCACTTGCTGCAGGCACAGCTGATTCTCTCTCACTAGGTGGTCGAACCATTTCAGTCTTTGTTTCTAGTCAACAGCTATCAAACAATGGGGGTCATGACATTCTGACATGTGACACACATATCACATGAAAACAACCACACACAGCGTTGCAACACACACACACATGTGACACACACATGTGATACACACATGTGACACACACACACATGTGACACACACACACATGTGACACACACACATGTGACACACACATGTGATACACACATGTGACACACACACACATGTGACACACACACACATGTGACACACACACACATGTGACACACACACACACACATGTGACACACACACATGTGACACACACACACATGTGACACACACACACATGTGACACACACACATACACATGTGACACACACACACATGTGACACACACACACGTGACACACACACACACATGTGACACACACACATGTGACAAACACACATGTGACACATCCAAGTGACCAGAGAATGTTGAGCACACATATCAGGATTCTGCTACAACAAAGACACTGCAGTGAAAAATTAGCATGGACAACTCAAGAAACAAGATACTATTAACACAGATAACTGAAGCCACAAGACGCTGTGACATAGATAACTCAAGTAATTAGATACTGTGTCATGTATAGCTCAAGTAACGCAATACTGGGACTAACATTATTAAAGTAACAAGATACTGTGACATGGAAACTCAAGAAACAGGATACTATAACACAGATAACTGAAGCAACAAGACGCTGTGACATAGATAACTCAAGTAACGAGATACTTAGACAATAACTCAAGTAACACGTTTCTGTGACACGGATAACTCAAGAAACAGGATACTTTATAACAAGATAAGAGGTGACAAAATGATGGCACAATAAAGATAAGAAAGCATGAATAACTACAATGAAAAGTTTAAAACAAGATAAGTGACACAAAAATCACACAAATAAGAATGTTGAATAACTATGAAATAAAAGTTTATAACAAGATAAGTGACCAAAATTGAGTACAATAAAATAAGAAAGCATGAATAACTAGAGTAATGAAAAGTTTATAACAAGATAAGTGAGGTAACAACATTGATGGCACAATAAAATAAGAAATCATGAATAACTAGAGTAATGAAAAGTTTATAACAAGATAAGTGAGGTAACAACATTGATGGCACAATAAAATAAGAAAGCATGAATAACTAGAGTAATGAAAAGTTTATAACAAGATAAGTGAGGTGACAAAATTGATGGCACAATAAAATAAGAAAGCATGAATAACTAGAGCAATGAAAAGTTTATAACAAGATAAGTGAGGTGACAAAATTGATGGCACAATAAAATAAGAAAGCATGAATAACTAGAGCAATGAAAAGTTTATAACAAGATAAGTGAGGTGACAAAATTGATGGCACAATAAAATAAGTTAAGTGACGAAAAAGATGACACAAAACACAAGCTAGATAACAAACAAACAAAATAAATTAGGTCACAAAGCAAATTATGATCAGACAAGTTTAAAAAAAAAAAAAAAAATAACAAAATCAGTGAGGAGACAATGTTTATGACACAACAAAATAAATAAGAAAGCAGAATAACTAGAGCAATGATTTATAACAAGATAAGTAAGGTGACAGTGACAAAAAATAAGAAAGCATGAATAAAACATAAGTTATACAACAAAATTAATGACAAATAAAAAAAAATGTAGGTGGCAAAGTTTATGACAACCAAATAGGTTAGACAACAGAACAAATGATACAATACAATAAGCAAAGTGACAACATTCATGACACAACAACAAAACAAATTAGACAACAAAATTGATGATGCAACAAAAAAGTGAAGTGACAAAATTTATGACAACAAAATAAGTTAGATAACAAAATAAAAACGTTAGGTGACGAAAAAGATAACCAAAAAAAAAAAAAAACATATGTTAGACAACAAAATTGGTGACTTGACAAAATAAGTTAGGTGACAAAGTTTATGACACAACAAAACAAGTTAGATGACAAAATTAACCATGCAACAAAATATGTGACCTGGCCAATTTTAAGACACAACAAAAATAGTCGAGGCCTCAAGAATCACACATACATAGCTGAAGTTTACAATAAATGAAAAAAAAAAACAGCCCCTACCATTTGTATCATCCATGGAAGCTTGTGACAAGAATATGTTAAAAAGTAAATCACTGGAAATGATACTGATGAACAATGTTAGGTGTCATAAGTGATTATATTTTTTAAATACGCCTTTGTAACTATCTGCTTCTTTTGGTTCATTGACTGACTATATCACAGACAACACACAAAGCTGACTGCACACAAAGAAAGATAACAGAATAATTTACATACACAGAGTCAAGCTTATTTATGACAGACACAGTCAAGTCTGAAACAAACATAGAGTCGAAAATGAGAACAGACACAGTCAAAAACTGAATATGTTAAACAACAAGCATGACTTGACAAAACAAGTTAGTCAAGTTTATGACACACAAAACAAGTTAGGATGACAGCATTAACCATGCAACAAAATATGTGACCTGTCCAATTTTAAGACACAACAAAAAAGTCGAGGCCTCAAGAATCACAGATACATAGCTGAAGTTTACAATAAATGAAAAAAAAAAACAGCCCCTACCATTTGTATCATCCATGGAGTCTGTGACAACAATATGTTAAAAAGTAAATCACTGGAAATGATACTGATGAACAATGTTAGGTGTCATAAGTGATTATATTTTTTAAATATGCCTTTGTAACTATCTGCTTCTTTTGGTTCATGGACTGACTATATCACAGACAACACACAAAGCTGACTGCACACAAAGAAAGATAACATAATAATTTACATACACAGAGTCAAGCTTAAGACAGACACAGTCAAGTCTGAAACAAACATAGAGTCAAACATGAGACAGACACAGTCAAGTCTGAAACAAACATAAAGTCAAGCATGAGACAGACACAGTCAAGTCTGAAACAAACATAAAGTCAAGCATGAGACAGACACAGTCAAGTCTGAAACAAACATAAAGTCAAGCATGACACAGACACAGTCAAGTCTGAAACAAACATAAAGTCAAGCATGACACAGACACAGTCAAGTCTGAAACAAACATAAAGTCAAGCATGACACAGACACAGTCAATCCTGAAACAAACACAAAAGTCAAGCATGAGACAGACACAGTCAAGTCTGAAACAAACATAAAGTCAAGCATGACACAGACACAGTCAAGTCTGAAACAAACATAAAGTCAAGCATGAGACAGACACAGTCAAGTCTGAAACAAACATAAAGTCAAGCATGAGACAGACACAGTCAAGCCTGAAACAAACATAAAGTCAAGCATGACACAGACACAGTCAAGCCTGAAAACACAAAAGTCAAGCCTGAGACAGACACAGTCAAGCCTGAAACAAACATAAACTCAAGCATGAGACAGACACAGTCAAGCCTGAAACAAACATAAAGTCAAGCATGAGACAGACACAGTCAAGCCTGAAACAAACACAAAAGTCAAGCCTGAGACAGACACAGACAAGCCTGAAACAAACATAAAGTCAAGCATGAGACAGACACAGTCAAGCCTGAAACAAACATAAAGTCAAGCATGAGACAGACACAGCCAAGCCTGAAACAAACATAAAGTCAAGCATGAGACAGACACAGCCAAGCATGAAACAAACATAAAGTCAAGCATGAGACAGACACAAAGTCATGAGACTGAAGACAAACATAAAGTCAAGCATGAGACAGACACCTGAGACAGACACAAAGTCAAGCCTACGACAGACACAGTCAAGCATGAAACAAACATAAAGTCAAGCATGAGACAGACACAAAGTCAAGCATGAGACAGACACAGTCAAGCCTGAGACAGACACAAAGTCAAGCATGAGACAGACAGTCAAGCCTGAGACAGACACAAATTCAAGCATGAGACAGACACAGCCAAGCCTGAAACAAACATAAAGTCAAACATGAGACAGACACAAAGTCAAGCATTAGACAGACACAGCCAAGCCTGAAACAAACATAAAGTCAAGCATGAGACAGACACAGCCAAGCCTGAAACAGACACAATGTCAAGCCTGAGACAGACACAGCCAAGCCTGAAACAAACATAAAGTCAAGCATGAGACAGACACAGCAAATCCTGAAACAAACATAAAGTCAAGCATGAGACAGACACAAAGTCAAGACTGAAACAAACATAAAGTCAAGCATAAGACAGACACAAAGTCAAGCCTACGACAGACACAGTCAAGCATGAAACAAACATAAAGTCAAGCATGAGACAGACACAGTCAAGTATGAGATGACACAGTCAAGCCTGAAACAAACATAAAGTCAAGCATTAAACAGACACAAAGTCAAGCCTGAGACAGACACAGCCAAGCCTGAGACAAACATAAAGTCAAGCATGAGACAGACACAAAATCAAGTGTCAGACAGACACAAAGTCAAGCCTGAGACAGACAGAGAGTCAAACCTGAGACAGACAGAGAGTCAAACCTGAGACAGACAGAGAGTCAAGCCTGAGACAAACATAAAGTCAAGCATGAGACAGACACAAATCAAGTGTCAGACAGACACAAAGTCAAGCCTGACACAGACCCAAATTTAAGCTAGAGACAGACACAGAGACTACAATATTACTGACCAGGTGGCGAGGACAATGAATGACCATTGGACTGACACCAGCCGACTGGACGGACGGACGGCGAAGTTACATCACACCAGTAATCATAGGTGTCCTCCCAGCCATCGAAGTGGACAAGGATCTTCTCACCGAGCGTGTTGGCCACAGTGGCGACACACACCAGGCTTGAGTTCTTCTTGTCTACTGCCTCCAGCTTCATCCCCACTCGAAATGCTGAAGGAACCACCTGGACACAGGAACAGGTCATAGGTTAGCTCCGACTGGTACAGGTGACCTTTACCTTACATTCATCAATGTCTATGTCAAAGATAAAGGTCATATATGTATAGAATAGAAAATATTCAACTATAAATCTGACACCACATGACTTACTGATGGAGACTTTATACCAAATAAATGACAATGAGATATTACATTATATGGCTGGTTGATAAATGACCCAATAAGATACTACAGTAGATTGTTGGTTGACAGTTACATTAGATGACTGACTCAACAAAGAGATTCTATAGTGGTCAGGTGGTTGGTTACAAAAAAATGAGATCTTACAGCAGATGTTTGACTGATGGAAAAAGTTATACTGGATAAATGACTCAAGAATGAGATCTTACAGCGGACGTTTGACTGATGGAAAAAGTTATCCTGAATAAATGACTCAAGAATGAGATCTTACAGTGGATGTTTGACTGATGGAAAAGTTATCCTGGATAAATGACTCAAGAACGAGATCTTTCAGGAGATGTTTGACTGATGGAAAATTTATCCTGGATAAATGACTCAAGAAGGAGATCTTACAGCAGATGTTTGACTGATGGTAAAAGTTATCCTGAATAAATAACTTAAAAATGAGATTTTATAGTGAATGGCTGGTTGATTGTTATACTAGATACATGAGTCAATAATGAGATCTTACAGCAGACGTTTGACTGATGGAAAAAGTTATCCTGGATAAATGACTCAAGAATGAGATCTTACAGTGGATGTTTGACTGATGGAAAAAGTTATCCTGGATAAATGACTCAAGAATGAGATCTTACAGTGGATGTTTGGTTGATTGTTACACTAGATACATGACTCAAGAATGAGATCTTACAGTGGATGGCTGGTTGATTGTTACACTAGATACTTGACTCAAGAATGAGATCTTACAGTGGATGGTTGGTTGATTGTTATACTAGATACATGACTCAAGAGTGAGATCTTACAGGATGGAAAAGTTAACCTGGATAAATGACTCAATAATGAGATCTTACAGTGATGGACTGGGAAATTGTTACACTAGATACATGACTCAAGAATGAGATCTTACAGTGGATGGCTGGTTGATTGTTACACTAGATACATGACTCAAGAATGAGATCTTACAGTGGATGGCTGGTTGATTGTTACACTAGATAAATGACTCAAGAATGAGATCTTACAGTGGATGGTTGGTTGAGGAACAAATGCTTTGGTGCAGCCACAGCTCTGGCCTGCTTCAGGTAGTTTGTCCAGTTAAACTCTCCCACTGGAATATCTGCAAGTAATTTGAAACAAAGACAAATGCTATTTTTTTCGGGTGTAAATCTCTACAACATATGATAATATAAGCATCACATTCACAAATTCTGGTCGATGATGAAGAAATTTTATTACAGACATTCCAAAAGAGGCAGACAGGTTGTGCCTAGTTACAAGACAAACCTGAGGCAACTGGAACAGATTTATGGGTAACAAGATCAAGACAGAGAGAAAATTCTGACAGCCTTCTGTCATGACATGGGCGGATGTTAGGACACAAATCACTTCTGGCATGGGCGGATGTCAGGACACAAATCACTTCTGGCATGGGCGGATGTCAGGACACAAATCACTTCTGGCATGGGTGGATGTCAGGACACAAATCACTTCTGGCATGGGCGGATGTCAGGACACAAATCACTTCTGGCATGGGCGGATGTCAGGTCACAAATCACTTCTGGCATGGGTGGATATCAGGACACAAATCACTTCTGGCATGGGCGGATATATCAGGATATTCAGGACAGGACAAATCACTTCTGGCATGGGTGGATGTCAGGACACAAATCACTTCTGGCATGGGCGGATGTCAGGACACATCACTTCTGGCATGGGCGGATGTCAGGACACAAATCACTTCTGGCATGGGCGGATGTCAGGACACAAATCACTTCTGGCATGGGCGGATGTCAGGACACAAATCACTTATGGCATGGGCGGATGTCAGGACACAAATCACTTCTGGCATGGGTGGATGTCAGGACACAAATTACTTCTGGCATGGGTGGATGTCAGGACACAAATCATTTCTGTCATGGGCGGATGTCAGGACACAAATCACTTCTGGCATGGGCGGATGTCAAGAGGCATTCTGTCTTGGATCATAATGTGTAGAGCAGCCCACATCAGTCAGCAAGGCATCTATAATGATTGTAAACATACAGGACCTCCTACGGGCTGTTAGATGAAGATTTCATTAGGGAAGTGCCTAGGTGCTGCACCATTATCAGAAAGCATGTGGCTGATCACTAGGCTCTGGACAACAGGATCTCTATGTCTCTGTGTCTACAGATCCCATAGCACAGTCTGTGGATGCAATGGTTTCAACTGGTCTAATTATGTGTCCTTCAGTCCAAGGCAGTGCCCTTATTAGTTACCTTTAAGGACATGCTCCCTCTGACACTTCGCTGAGGCACAAGGTGGAAGAGAAGGAGGACATCCCCCCCCAATTCACTGAGGCACAAGGTGGAAGAGAAAAAGAAGAAGGACAAGCTCCCTCCTCCGACAATTCACCGAGGTACAAGGTGGAAGAGAAGAAAAAGAACAAGCTCCCTCCCCCTGACGATTTGCTGAGGTACAAGATTTAAGCCCCCCCCCCCCCCCCCCGACAATTCACCGAGGTACAAGGTGGAAGAGAAGAAGAAGAAGAAGGACATGCTCCCTCCCCCTGACAATTTGCTGAGGTACCCCCCCCCCCCCCCTCCTGACAATTCGCTGAGGTACAAGGTGGAAGAGAAGAAAAAGAAGAAGGACATGCTCCCTCCCCCTGACAATTCACCGAGGTACAAGATGGAAGAAATGAAGAAAAAGAAGGATAAACTCCCCCTCCCCCCCCCCGACAATTCACTGAGGCACAAGGTGGAAGGGAAGAAGAAGAAAAAGGAGAAGCCCCCCCCCCCCCCCCCCTTCCGACAATTCGCTGAGGTACAAGGTGGAAAAGAAGAAGAAGAAGAAGGGCATGCTTGTTTAGGGCACTCAAGAAGTGGCTCTATCTCTGCCTTCCCCTTCCCAGGAACCTAGACGTGGCACAGACATTCAACATTCCCTCCCCCAGGAACCCAGACATGGCACAGACATTCAACATTCCCTCCCCCAGGAACCCAGACGTGGCACAGACATTCAACATTCCCTCCCCCAGGAACCCAGACGTGGCACAGACATTCAACATTCCCTCCCCCAGGAACCCAGACATGGCACAGACATTCAACATTCCCTCCCCCAGGAACCCAGACGTGGCACCCAACATTCCCTCCCCCCCCCGTGGCACAGACATTCAACCCCCCAGACGTGGCACAGACATTCAACATTCCCTCCCCCAGGAACCCAGGACGTGGCACAGACATTCAACATTCCCTCCCCCAGGAACCCAGACGTGGCACAGACATTCAAACATTCCCTCCCCCAGGAACCCAGACATGGCACAGATATTCAACATTCCCTCCCCCAGGAAGATGTGGCACAGACATTCAACATTCCCTCCCCCAGGAACCCAGACATGGCACAGACATTCAACATTCCCTCCCCCAGGAACCCAGACGTGGCACAGACATTCAACATTCCCTCCCCCAGGAACCCAGACATGGCACAGACATTCAACATTCCCTCCCCCAGGAACTCTGGCACAGACATCAACATTCCCTCCCCCAGGAACCCAGACGTGGCACAGACATTCAACATTCCCTCCCCCAGGAACCCAGACGTGGCACAGACATTCAACATTCCCTCCCCCAGGAACCCAGACGTGGCACAGACATTCAACATCAATCAACACCAGGCCCTCAGCAGACCCCTAAGTCTGTGTCTAGGAGGAAATTATTTGCTGATAACAGGACATTCTGGCGGGTGGTCATCAATTTGTAGGCCAGCAGATGGTTGTTATTATGCCCATCTGATATTTCTAGATCCACCATTAATGAGAACATTTACACAAATACAAACATGCGTTGAATACCATTATCATGTGCCATGCCAAAAAGCATGCAGAAATGATTGTCCACACCTCAGACAATCACCATAAGCATGGACAGAAATCCCAATATCTCTTGACAAGATCACCAGATCTCTATTTAATGCTTTGATTTCTGGCTGGCTTCATACCAGGTCTGCAACCAAGCTTTCCACTTACGTCTCCCCATGCTGCACAAGAAAATGTAAATGTTTAAATTCCTCATAAATTCTAACTGGCATGATACATACTTTTAGGTGGTTGCAGAACTTCACCATTTTTCTCTGCCCAGCCGACGGGAAATATAAACGGTGAATCGGCATTTACCCAGAAGTCATAGCACTCCGAATATCCATCAAAGTGAAGTCTCAGCCTAAGCACAAAAACAAAAAGAGAGGTCAAAACAGAGAAACCTGTGCCAGCCAAACAAGTATTTAAAAAACAAAGACAACAACAATATTCACAAATCCAACTCAGACAGTCAGCCGTCATTGTGCAGAGGCGCTCACCTGTGGATAAGAACGTTGTGGGTTCAAATCTGTATGAAACTAGAATTTTTCATACATGACCTTGGCTCCCAGGTAAACTCAGCTGTTAATGGGTACAGGGTAAAGTCCTGGGAAGTAAAAGTGGTCGACATGATGCTGACCACATCAAATAGTCTATACAAATATGTGTCTAGCCTGATATGTCCCGTGTGCCACTGGGCATGTAAAGCCACCAACTCAGAAATAATGCCATAGTTTTCATTAACATGAAATCAGTTCAATGAGGCAGCAGTGCAACTCTTGTCTGAAGTAAATATTATAATGAGTTGGATCTGCAACTCTCAACTAAGGTAAATATTATAATGAGTTGGATCTGCAACTCTCAACTAAGGTAAATATTATAATGAGTTGGATCTGCAACTCTTAACTAAAGTAAATATTATAATGAGTTGGATCTGCAACTCTTAACTAAAGTAAATATTATAATGAGTTGGATCTGCAACTCTCAACTAAGGTAAATATTATAATGAGTTCGATCTGCAACTCTTGTCTGAAGTAAATATTATAATGAGTTGGATCTCTTTAGCTCAAAATTTACTTCACAATTTGTCTTTCATGTGCACGGATTGAATGCAGAGTAAATCACAGAATACACATTAAAGGCTTCGGTCGGAGCAGTGCGCTAGGGAGGATACTAGCCTTATCCCATGAAGACGAAATGCAATCTGAAAACTTTTAGCTATGGCAGGGCAGACCCTTAGCCTTGGTTGGCAGTTGGTCTAGGAGAGAGGTTCTGCTCTTCTGATCCAGCAGCGTGCTTCACTGCAAATGCATTGGTGTTACATTTCCTTTCAGTAAACAAGGCAGGTCAAGCGAGCGATCAGATGCATAGACAACACACTGTCTCTACAACAGTGCCCAGGCTTTGTGCTATGGAGAGAAGGAACTTCATTCCTAGGCCTTCAAATAGCCCAATATAACATGATCGACCAGAAAGACGGAAAGGTGCCAACAAACTAGCTGTGCAAACTTGAAGAGTCTCACTAGTGGGACTTACTCTGTGCACACACACACACCTGACCTACCTGTATCCTTGCACTTCAGCTACACTCAGACACCTGACCTACCTGTATCCTTGCACTTTAGCTACACTCAGATACTTGACCTACCTGTATCCTTGCACTTCAGCTACACTCAGACACTTGACCTACCTGTATCCTTGCACTTCAGCTACAGACAGACACTTGACCTACCTGTATCCTTGCACTTCAGCTACAGACAGACACTTGACCTACCTGTATCCTTGCACTTCAGCTACAGACAGACACACAAGACCTACCTGTATCCTTGCACTTCAGCTACAGACAGACACACTTGACCTACCTGTATCCTTGCACTTCAGCTACAGACAGACACACTTGACCTACCTGTATCCCTGCACTTCAACTACAGACAGACACACTTGACCTACCTGTATCCTTGCACTTCAGCTACAGACAGACACACTTGACCTACCTATATCCCTGCACTTCAACTACAGACAGACACACTTGACCTACCTGTATCCCTGCACTTCAGCTACAGACAGACACACTTGACCTACCTGTATCCCTGCACTTCAGCTACAGACACTTGACCTACCTGTATCCCTGCACTTCAGCTACAGACAGACACACTTGACCTACCTGTATCCTTGCACTTCAGCTACAGACAGACACACTTGACATACCTGTATCCCTGCACTTCAGCTACACTCAGCACACAGAAGAGTGACTGATGCTTGGGGTCAACGCCCTCTAGTCTCATCCCCAGACGGAAACCATTACGGTTTGTGGGAAATGGCTGCAGGAAAAAAATCATCATCTTTGAGACATCTCTAGATGTGCGGAAAACTACAAACAAAACAACACACCAGACATTTCTACTTCATTAAGTCCCTTACAACTGGTAGTATTTCATCACTACATGACTGTTTAATATGGCCATAGCGTACACCATCTGGCCCCGGAGCATCATTTCTGCTGCCTCGCAATGCCACCTTTATTTATGTCAATTACAGCCATCAAGTCTTCACATTTGCTGTACTTGACATTGCTTTGTTGGCCTGAGATTCTCTAGAGTGTTGCACCGATCTGTTCTATCGTCTTTATCCATTTGGAGTACATACCACCTACAAAACTCTTGCCCCTATTCCTTGTCACTTGTTAATATTCTACCTCTCGAATCCTTAATGTTTGGCATTTAACCAATATTACTTTTTCTATTAATTTGTGGGTGCTAATTCCAGAATTTATGTAGCTTTTTCTCTCCGCTACGTCTGTTACACATTTTTACCACATGCTTCCCTTGGCCTCTGGATTTTAAATGCGCTATTGAGGATTTGTTTATCTTGATACTATCTCTCCATATCTTCCTCATTCATGCTGATATGTGAGAACCCAATCACCACTAGACTGTTCTACTGATGACAATCATGGGAAAGGGACAGCTGTAGCTTTTTATAGGTAAGTGAAGTTTATTAAAAAAAAAAAATAAATACACACACACAAACAGAAGGAGATAGAATAGATAGACAGAATGAACAAACAAACTTTATTTTCAAAGCGTTAAGAATCGGGCCGACATTGTATCCTTCCAATCCACTCCTTGCATACAGTGATTCATTCGTACCTCATTTCATAATTGTTAATAACAATAAACGTTCACAATATCTAAGTCTAATTACAAACGCTGGAATGTGCTCCAATTGTACAGACATTTCAGAACATTAAAAAAAGTAAAGCAATTAACCTAATCCAAAAATGGTATAAGTTCTAACAAGTTGCACAATATAAACATCATCAACATCAATTAAATATCAGTTACAAATGCTGAAAATGCCTTCGACTGGCATGTTCATTTTTAAACAATAATAAATTTCAGTGTAAAAAAAATTACATAAGACATCCGATGGAAATACATCATAGACTTAACATACTAGTCTTTTAAGGGGGCATATAGTCGGTAGTGAGATAATATTTGAATAGTTTCAGAGACAGACAGACCGCCAGATAGTCAGAGAGATAGAGAAGGAAACACTTTCAACAACAACAAAAACACCACACACAAGAAAACAAGAACTAAAAACAAATGATACCTCTTGAAACAGTCTTTTAGGGGCAGCAATGGATTTTGTTTCTGCCAGGTAAGAATCCCAATCAAAGTTTAACAACTTTTTCTCAGATACCATATCTGAAATGCAATGTTGCAACAATGTTGCTAAAATATGTGTCTGAACTGTGATGTGACAAGGAAAACTGATGCTCCCACCAGTCCCCGCATCAATACAGTCTGTGGCAGAAACTTCATGCTTGGAAACATTCTCCACATTCATGTTGCAGATTCTTGTGAACAATCTGAGGGTGAAACACTTTCATGTTCACAATGTTTAGTGCTCTTCTGTTAGTGAGATTATACATCTGTCAAAAGTGTCTTTCATTTTGTGTATGGTGAAAATGATCCAATCAGTGCAATTTCTGTAGCAGTAGATGAATATGCAGACAGTCAAACTGACAGCCTAGAGATGTACTTGAAGTGAACTGAACAACTAACTACAGTGTGCCTGTTGTATTTAATGATATAACTACAGACAGTCAAACTGACAGCCTAGAGATGTACTTGAAGTGAACTGAACAACTAACTACAGTGTGCCTGTTGTATTTAATGATATAACTACAGACAGTCAAACTGACAGCCTAGAGATGTACTTGAAGTTAACTGAACAACTAACTACAGTGTGCCTGTTGTATTTAATGATATAACTACAGACAGTCAAACTGACAGCCTAGATATGTACTTGAAGTTAACTGAACAACTAACTACAGTGTGCCTGTTGTATTTAATGATATAACTACAGACAGTCAAACTGACAGCCTAGAGATGTACTTGAAGTGAACTGAACAACTAACTACAGTGTGCCTGTTGTATTTAATGATATAACTACAGACAGTCAAACTGACAGCCTAGAGATGTACTTGAAGTGAACTGAACAACTAACTACAGTGTGCCTGTTGTATTTAATGATATAACTACAGACAGTCAAACTGACAGCCTAGAGATGTACTTGAAGTGAACTGAACAACTAACTACAGTGTGCCTGTTGTATTTAATGATATAACTACAGACAGTCAAACTGACAGCCTAGAGATGTACTTGAAGTGAACTGAACAACTAACTACAGTGTGCCTGTTGTATTTAATGATATAACTACAGACAGTAAAACTGACAGCCTAGATATGTACTTGAAGTGAACTGAACAACTAACTACAGTGTGCCATGTGGACTCACATAAACAATTCTTGGAACAGAACCCAGCTATCCTGTCATGGTGACAGAACTGATGCCTGTTGTATCAGGGCAGGGCATGTTGTATCAGGGCAGGGCCTGTTGTATCAGGGCAGGACATGTTGTATCAGGGCAGGGCCTGTTGTATCAGGGCAGGGCATGTTGTATCAGGGCAGGGCATGTTGTATCAGGGCAGGGCATGTTGTATCAGGGCAGGGCATGTTGTATCAGGACAGGACATGTTGTATCAGGGAAGGGCATGTTATATCAGCAGGGCATGTTGTATCAGGGCAGGGCATGTTGTATCAGGGCAGGGCCTGTTGTATCAGGGCAGGGCATGTTGTATCAGGGCAGGGCATGTTGTATCAGGGCAGGGCATGTTGTATCAGGGCAGGGCATGTTGTATCAGGACAGGACATGTTGTATCAGGGAAGGGCATGTTATATCAGCAGGGCATGTTGTATCAGGGCAGGGCATGTTGTATCAGGGCAGGGCCTGTTGTATCAGGGCAGGGCCTGTTGTATCAGGGCAGGGCATGTTGTATCAGGGCAGGACATGTTGTTGTATCAGGGCAGGACATGTTGTATCAGGGCAGGACATGTTGTTGTATCAGGGCAGGGCATGTTGTTGTATCAGGGCAGGACATGTTGTATCAGGGCAGGACATGTTGTATCAGGGCAGGACATGTTGTTGTATCAGGGCAGGGCATGTTGTATCAGGGCAGGACATGTTGTATCAGGGCAGGACATGTTGTATCAGGGCAGGACATGTTGTATCAGGGCAGGGCATGTTGTATCAGCAGGGCATGTTGTATCAGGGCAGGGCATGTTGTTGTATCAGGGCAGGGCATGTTGTTGTATCAGGGCAGGGCATGTTGTATCAGGGCAGGACATGTTGTATCAGGGCAGGACATGTTGTATCAGGGCAGGACATTTTGTATCAGGGCAGGACATGTTGTATCAGGACAGGACATGTTGTATCAGGGCAGGGCATGTTGTATCAGGGCAGGGCATGTTGTATCAGGACAGGACATGTTGTATCAGGGCAGGACCTGTTGTATCAGGGCAGGACATGTTGTATCAGGGCAGGACATGTATCAGGGCAGGGCATGTTGTATCAGGACAGGACATGTTGTATCAGGGCAGGACATGTTGTATCAGGGCAGGGCATGTTGTATCAGGGCAGGACATGTTGTATCAGGGCAGGACATGTTGTATCAGGGCAGGACCTGTTGTATCAGGGCAGGACATGTTGTATCAGGGCAGGACATGTATCAGGGCAGGGCATGTTGTATCAGGACAGGACATGTTGTATCAGGGCAGGGCATGTTATATCAGGGCAGGACATGTTGTATCAGGGCAGGGCATGTTGTATCAGGGCAGGACATGTTGTATCAGGGCAGGACATGTTGTATCAGGGCAGGACCTGTTGTATCAGGGCAGGACATGTTGTATCAGGGCAGGACATGTATCAGGGCAGGGCATGTTGTATCAGGACAGGACATGTTGTATCAGGGCAGGACATGTTGTATCAGGGCAGGACATGTTGTATCAGGGCAGGGCATGTTGTATCAGGGCAGGACATGTTGTATCAGGGCAGGGCATGTTGTATCAGGGCAGGGCATGTTGTATCAGGGCAGGACATGTTGTATCAGGGCAGCACATGTTGTATCAGGGCAGGACATGTTGTATCAGGGCAGGGCATGTTGTATCAGGGCAGGGCATGTTGTATCAGGGCAGGGCATGTTGTATCAGGGCAGGACATGTTGTATCAGGGCAGGACATGTTGTATCAGGGCAGGGCATGTTGTATCAGGGCAGGGCATGTTGTATCAGGGCAGGGCATGTTGTATCAGGGCAGGGCATGTTGTATCAGGGCAGGGCATGTTGTATCAGGGCAGGACATGTTGTATCAGGGCAGGACATGTTGTATCAGGGCAGGGCATGTTGTATCAGGGCAGGACATGTTGTATCAGGGCAGGGCATGTTGTATCAGGGCAGGGCATGTTGTATCAGGGCAGGGCATGTTGTATCAGGGCAGGACATGTTGTATCAGGGCAGGGCATGTTGTATCAGGGCAGGGCATGTTGTATCAGGGCAGGACATGTTGTATCAGGGCAGCACATGTTGTATCAGGGCAGGGCATGTTGTATCAGGCATGTTTTTAGCTAGGTATGCATGTTTTTTTTTTTAAAAGCAAAGTACGCATGTTTTTAGCTAGGCAGGCGTGATTTTATTTTAGCTAGGCAGGCAAGAAAGCATAGGCCAATTTTAATTGAACGACATACAGATTGTCTGTGGATATTTTCTGTCAGACGACATACAGTTTGTCTGTGGATATTTTCTGTTAGACGACATACAGTTTGTCTGTGGATATTTTCTGTCAGACGACATACAGTTTGTCTTGTGGACATTATTTGTCAGATGACATACAGTTTGTCTATGGACATAAATATGTCAGATGACATACAGTTTGGCTGTGCACATTATTTGTGTTGTCTTCAAATTGAGACAAAGGGTTTGATCCCCCCCCCCCCCCCCCCCTGTGTGTTTTGGGACAAATAAGATTAAGAGCTCTAGTTCCTGTACACTGTTTGAAAGGTGGGGACTATTTTGTCTACACAGCAAAATTCTGGAACTGGGTTGCCACCAAATATTTGTGGATCATAACTATAGACAGTTGTATTTAATGATATAACTATAGACAGTTGTATTTAATGATATAACTATAGACAGTTGTATTTAATGATATAACTATAGACAGTTGTATTTAATGATATAACTATAGACAGTTGTATTTAATGATATAACTATAGACAGTTGTTGTATTTAATGATATAACTATAGACAGTTGTATTTAATGATATAACTATAGACAGTTGTATTTAATGATATAACTATAGACAGTTGTATTTAATGATATAACTATAGACAGTTGTTGTATTTAATGATATAACTATAGACATTTGTATTTAATGATATAACTACAAACAGTTGTATTTAATGATATAACTATAGACATTTGTATTTAATGATATAACTACAGACAGTTGTATTTAATGATATAACTATAGACAGTTGTTGTATTTAATGATATAACTATAGACAGTTGCTGTATTTAATGATATAACTATAGACAGTTGTATTTAATGATATAACTATAGACAGTTGTTGTATTTAATGATATAACTATAGACAGTTGTATTTAATGATATAACTATAGACAGTTGTATTTAATGATATAACTATAGACAGTTGTTGTATTTAATGATATAACTATAGACAGTTGTATTTAATGATATAACTATAGACAGTTGTATTTAATGATATAACTATAGACAGTTGTATTTAATGATATAACTATAGACAGTTGTTGTATTTAATGATATAACTATAGACATTTGTATTTAATGATATAACTATAGACAGTTGTATTTAATGATATAACTATAGACAGTTGTATTTAATGATATAACTACAGACAGTTGTATTTAATGATATAACTACAGACAGTTGTATTTAATGATATAACTATAGACAGTTGTATTTAATGATATAACTATAGACAGTTGTATTTAATGATATAACTATAGACAGTTGTATTTAATGATATAACTATAGACATTTGTATTTAATGATATAAATATAGACAGTTGTATTTAATGATATAACTATAGACAGTTGTATTTAATGATATAACTATAGACATTTGTATTTAATGATATAACTATAGACAGTTGTATTTAATGATATAACTATAGACAGTTGTATTTAATGATATAACTATAGACAGTTGTATTTAATGATATAACTATAGACAGTTGTGTTTAATGATATAACTATAGACAGTTGTTGTATTTAATGATATAACTATAGACAGTTGTATTTAATGATATAACTACAGACAGTTGTATTTAATGATATAACTATAGACAGTTGTATTTAATGATATAACTATAGACAGTTGTATTTAATGATATAACTACAGACAGTTGTATTTAATGATATAACTATAGACAGTTGTATTTAATGATATAACTACAGACAGTTGTATTTAATGATATAACTACAGACAGTTGTATTTAATGATATAACTACAGACAGTTGTTGTATTTAATGATATAACTATAGACAGTTGTGTTTAATGATATAACTATCGTAAGAGATTATTTTCAAAAATAGCAACATTCTTCACCCAGGGGAGCAAAAACCTGCCCAGGTAACCCTCAAGTTTCAAAAGGCACAGTTCACACTGGTCGACTGTACTCAGTTTTATCATTATAAATAAACCGCTAGTTGAAACCTATAATACCGAAATCCTTACTTGACCCATTCTGTTTCTCTTCAGACAAAGTTTTCATTTCTCCAGACAGGATCATTTTCTTCTTCTTTCTCTTCATCCCCATCATCATTCGTGACATGATCAGCTGCTTGCGATGATGTCTTCTTCTGCAGACGGAAACAATCTGACTGACAACGGTAGACAAATGAAGGGATGTTAACTGCTAGGTGACTGACAATGGTAGACAAATGAAGGGATGATGTCAACCGCTAGGTGACTGTATGTTAACTGCCAGGTGACTGTATGTTAACTGTCAGGTGACTGTATGTTAACTGCCAGGGGACTGTATGTCAACTGCCAGGTGACTGTATGTTAACTGCCAGGTGACTAGGTTAACTTCTAGGTGGCTGTATGTTAACTGTCAGGTGACTGTATTATAACTGCCAGGTGGCTGTATGTTAACTGCCAGGTGACTGTATGTTAACTGCCAGGTGACTGTATGTTAACTGTCAGGTGACTGTATGTTAACTGCCAGGGGACTGTATGTCAACTGCCAGGTGACTGTATGTTAACTGCCAGGTGACTAGGTTAACTTCTAGGTGGCTGTATGTTAACTGTCAGGTGACTGTATTATAACTGCCAGGTGGCTGTATGTTAACTGCCAGGTGACTGTATGTTAACTGCCAGGTGACTGTATGTTAACTGCCAGGGGACTGTATGTTAACTGCTAGGTGGCTGTATGTTAACTGTCAGGTGACTGTATTATAACTGCTAGGTGGCTGTATGTTAACTGTCAGGTGACTGTATGTTAACTGTCAGGTGGCTGTATGTTAACTGCCAGGTGACTGTATTATAACTGCTAGGTGGCTGTATGTTAACTGTCAGGTGACTGTATTATAACTGCCAGGTGGCTGTATGTTAACTGCCAGGTGACTGTATTATAACTGCCAGGTGGCTGTATGTTAACTGCCAGGTGACTGTATTATAACTGCCAGGTGGCTGTATGTTAACTGCCAGGTGACTGTATGTTAACTGTCAGGTGACTGTATGTTAACTGCTAAGTGACTGTATTATAACTGCTAGGTGGCTGTATGTTAACTGCTAGGTGGCTGTATGTTAACTGTCAGGTGACTGTATGTTAACTGCCAGGTGACTGTATGTTAACTGCTAGGTGGCTGTATGTTAACTGCCAGGTGACTGTATTATAACTGCTAGGTGGCTGTATGTTAACTGTCAGGTGACTGTATGTTAACTGCCAGGTGACTGTATGTTAACTGCTAGGTGGCTGTATGTTAACTGCCAGGTGACTGTATGTTAACTGCTAGGTGGCTGTATGTTAACTGTCAGGTGACTGTATTATAACTGCTAGGTGGCTGTATGTTAACTGCCAGGTGACTGTATTATAACTGCTAGGTGGCTGTATGTTAACTGCCAGGTGACTGTATTATAACTGCTAGGTGGCTGTATGTTAACTGCCAGGTGACTGTATTATAACTGCCAGGTGGCTGTATGTTAACTGCCAGGTGGCTGTATGTTAACTGCCAGGTGACTATTAGTTAACCGCCAGGTGACTGTATGTTAGGTGACTATGTTAACTGCTAGGTGAATGTATGTTAACTGCCAGGTGACTATGTTAACTGTTAGGGAACTGTATGATAACTGTCAGGTGACTTATGTTAACTGCTAGGAGACTATGAGATGAATGACCAGTTCTCAGACTCACTACTTCTTTTTTCTAGCGTTGTCTTCTTTTAAGCATTCACTGGATGTAAACCCAGTGGAAAGTCTTGGTTGTTTGTGCACTTCTGGACTGTATTCCTGTTCCAGGACCTGAGTTTTGCAGGCAACCTCCATCCATTTTACATAAATGGTTTGTCTGTATGCAGACTGTTGGTTCCTTGCCTCTCAGGGAGATGCACTGACTTAGAAGGAAACACCCCTAATTAATCATCTTGTAATTATATAAGACCTGTTTCCTGGGGGGCAGGAGGTCTATTCTTCTACGCCCAAAACGGGGCCCTGAAGAGACAGCTTCCAGCTATCAGCTACCTGTTTGATCTCCTCTTTCGCATTCACTGTCTCTTGAGTCTGGTGGAAAGTTCTGGTTGTTCATCCACCTCCAGACTCCAGTGTTGTTCCAGAACCTGAATGTTGCATGCACAACTGTGTCACAGATCTGGTTTCATTGTATGCAGACTGTTGATTCTTGTCTCCTAGGCTAATGCACTCACTTTGAAGGATCCCACTAATTAGTTGACTTCTATGACATGCTTGTTAGGGAGGCAGTGGGCCTCTTCTTGTTTTATCCACAATGGGACCCTAGAACCCACATGAGGGTACAAATCTGATGACCTAATCTCCTGATGTTAATTAGTTTTTTGACAGGAAGCCAAGATTACAACAACAACAACATGTAGAGAGCAAGAGGATGTCAAAGACACAAATGGACAGACAATATCAAGAGCTAGCCATACAAGGTGTGGCAGACGATGCTCAAGATAGAAAATAATGGAGACCTTCAATGTGGCGATGGTACTGGATGAACAGATCACTTGAAATAAGTAAACATAGACCACCCAAAGTTATTCCTGTAGTCTTGGCAGCCAATTCATGCAGCTGGCAGTAGAGTCAAAGCTAGTCATGAAGGAAAAGGGTTCACCCTTACAACTCCAGAGAACAGTCTTTAGTGGCAAATTCATGCAGCTGGCAGTAGAGTCAAAGCTAGTCATGAAGGAAAAGGGTTCACCCTTACAACTCCAGAGAACAGTCTTTGGTGGCAAATTCATGCAGCTGGCAGTAGAGTCAAAGCTAGTCATGAAAGGAAAGGGTTCACCCTTACAACTCCAGAGAACAGTCTTTGGTGGCAAATTCATGCAGCTGGCAGTAGAGTCAAAGCTAGTCATGAAAGGAAAGGGTTCACCCCTACAACTCCAGAGAACAGAACAATAAAACAATGATTACTAGAAACAAACATACTTTCCCGCACAGTTCTGTGAGCAGAATTTTCCAGAAGTTTTGAAGTTACTCTTGTAACCGTAGCGACCGCAGTAGAGACAACAGCACACAGGGTCTCCTTCATGATCCGACAGCTGCGAGGGGTCACTCACTAAGATAAATATACAACAGAGACTGCATGAGGCAGTTTTAGGGGTCACTCATTGAGATAAACATACAGAGATTACACATGAGTTAACTTCAAAGGTATAAATGCTGAGATAAACATACAGAGATTACACATGAGTTAACTTGATTTGATTTGAACTGATTCAAGAACCGACATCACAGCACTCGGGACATTCCCATAAGTGCTCCGTCACCATCTTCAGCAGCCAACGAAGAGTTCCGATACTAATTGCAGTAGCATTCTGATTAAACATCCGTCTTGCCTTTCCTCTGAGCCTCGAGCATCTGCCAGAACCTCTCGTCACTTCCCCCTGCATCAATCTCACCAGACTGTGGTGATCCATCTCCTCCTCCAAACTGTACACGCTCTCCTACAAGGCACTAACCACGTCTGCCTTATCATGTATCAGTATTCCACCTAGTTGTGCAGAGCCAGCCAGCCTGTCCACCTGTTCATTTCCCAACAAACCGGCGTACCCCAGTAAAAAAATCTAGACAATACACCTCACCCATGTCCTCCGCAGCAAAGCATGCCACTCTGCACGAAGCATGAATGTCCTGATCTTCCTCAGTAAGTTTTCTGAATCAGTTACAATCACGATGTGTGTGTGTGTGTGTCGCGTACTCTAGCCAGCGGAAAGCTGCAGTGACTGCCTCCACCTCCATTCTCAAGCTGGATGTTGTGGTATCATATGCTAGGCTCTCCTGCATCAAACGTCGACCATTAACTTTTGCTAAGAAGCCCCAATCACTTCCTTTGCCTCTTGACACTGGGCCGTCTGTGTAAATGATCAAATCCTCTGAGCGAGCATTATCTTAAATTAATTGCTGAATTTCCATCTCCGTAGCACCTGCTGGCCAGTCTCTGCATTCCCGGCTCAGTGTGATTATGACCCTACACAAGTGCGACTGTTCAGGTGGCACTTTGACCCACTCCTCTCCTCGCCTAATGTTCTCAAGGATGCAAACCTATTTGATTATGTCTTGAGCCATCTATGACTTCCCTCTTATTAGCCATTGACCCAGAGCTTCATGCAAAGGGTGGTCTGTGTTAACTTCAAAGGTATAAATGCTGAGATAAACATACAGAGTTTACACTTGAGTTAACTTCAAAGGTATAAATGCTCAGATAAAAATACAGAGATTATACATGAGTTAACTTCAAAGGTTTAAATGCTGAGATAAACATACAGAGATTATACATGAGTTAACTCTAAAGGTATAAATGCTGAGACAATTTTATTTACAGCAGACACTAAGCACTAGATTTTAAAAAATATAGACACAAACACTGATTACAATAGTGTATGTACAGACACATACACAGACATGGATGACTATGTTATATGTACAGATACATACACAGACATGGATGACTATGTTATATGTACAGACACATACACAGACATGGATGACTATGTTATATGTACAGATACATACACAGACATGGATGACTATGTTATATGTACAGACACATACACAAACATGGATGACTATGTTATATGTACAGACACATACACAAACATGGATGACTATGTTATATGTACAGATACATACACAGACATGGATGACTATGTTATATGTACAGACACATACACAAACATGGATGACTATGTTATATGCACAGATACACACACAGACATGGATGACTATGTTATATGTACAGACACATACACAGACATGGATGACTATGTTATATGTACAGACACATACACAGACATGGATGACTATGTTATATGTACAGATACATACACAGACATGGATGACTATGTTATATGTACAGATACATACACAGACATGGATGACTATGTTATATGTACAGACACATACACAAACATGGATGACTATGTTATATGCACAGATAAACACACAGACATGGATGACTATGTTATATGTACAGATACATACACAAACATGGATGACTATGTTATATGTACAGATACATACACAGACATGGATGACTATGTTATATGTACAGACACATACACAGACATGGATGACTATGTTATATGTACAGACACATACACAGACATGGATGACTATGTTATATGTACAGACACATACACAGACATGGATGACTATGTTATATGTACAGACACATACACAGACATGGATGACTATGTTATATGTACAGACACATACACAGACATGGATGACTATGTTATATGTACAGATACATACACAGACATGGATGACTATGTTATATGTACAGATACATACACAGACATGGATGACTATGTTATATGTACAGACACATACACAAACATGGATGACTATGTTATATGCACAGATACACAAACAGACATGGATGACTATGTTATATGTACAGATACATACACAAACATGGATGACTATGTTATATGTACAGATACATACACAGACATGGATGACTATGTTATATGTACAGACACATACACAGACATGGATGACTATGTTATATGTACAGACACATACACAGACATGGATGACTATGTTATATGTACAGATACATACACAGACATGGATGACTATGTTATATGTACAGACACATACACAAACATGGATGACTATGTTATATGTACAGACACATACACAGACATGGATGACTATGTTATATGTACAGACACATACACAGACATGGATGACTATGTTATATGTACAGACACATACACAAACATGGATGACTATGTTATATGTACAGACACATACACAGACATGGATGACTATGTTATATGTACAGACACATACACAAACATGGATGACTATGTTATATGTACAGATACATACACAGACCCTGACTATAATACTGTATATACAGAACCATAAATAGACACTATGACTATGTTGTACTACAAACACATGCAGACACTGATGACTAAGCTATATGTACAGAGACAACACATGACTGTTTCATATGTAGAGATACACATATCCCAAGCTGAAGAACTACAAACCTGAACCGTCTTTTGTTCCATTCCCTCTGCTGCCGTCACCCACATCCCCTCCATTGAGTGGGCCATCTTGCTGGCTGTCCTCCATCTTGTTTGAGGCCACTTCTGCATGGCAGCTCCCATCATCAATCAATTCCAGATCACCAAACTCATTAACTTTGAACTGTGATTAGGAAATACATTTACAATGATACAAACAATGTGTGCACATGGCTATTTCGGCCATGTCTAACGTCATCATGGTGGCCTGGAGAAAATGAGGATGGAGGGTAAAGTTTCAGGGAACTGAGGCAGAGGCTGACCGCCAAGGTCGATACAAGACAATAAAGATGCACTGGCTATGGAAGCACATAGGGCTGGACAAGTGCCTAGAAAAAAGAGAGACTTTCATTGGTGCCGTGAAGAGAGTGACGTTCTGTAAATGATTGGCTGTTTAATGATGGTGACGTTGATTATTAATGAAAAAATTAAAACAAAAACCACTTTTCTGAAATCATAGCACAATCAATCAATCACCTTTCTGAAATCATAGCACAATCAATCAATCAATCCCATGCGGTGCCAACAGTAAATATGGCTTAAAGAGATCTCCAACACCCCTGTCTCTCATCCTGGATGCAGTCTCTCCTACAGCTGTTCGTCCAACTCTTGATGTTATCTTCCCATTTGTATTGCTATCCACCTTTTGCTTGCTTGCTCTTCAACGTTTCCCTTCAGTATGGCTTTTAGAAGTGTTGTCTCTTCAACTTGTCCCTTCAGTATGGCTTTTAGAAGTGTTGTCTGTTCAACTTTTCCCTTCAGTATGGCTTTTACAAGTGTTGTCTGTTCAACTTTTCCCTGCAGTATGGCTTTTAGAAGTGTTGTCTGTTCAACTTTTCCCTTCAGTATGGCTTTTAGAAGTGTTGTCTGTTCAACTTTCCCCTTCAGTATGGCTTTCACAAGTGTTGTCTGTTCAACTTTTCCCTTCAGTATGGCTTTTAGAAGTGTTGTCTGTTCAACTTGTCCCTTCAGTATGGCTTTTAGAAGTGTTGTCTGTTCAACTTGTCCCTTCAGTATGGCTTTTACAAGTGTTGTCTGTTCAACTTGTCCCTTCAGTATGGCTTTTACAAGTGTTGTCTGTTCAACGTTTCCCTTCAGTATGGCTTTTACAAGTGTTGTCTGTTCAACGTTTCCCTTCAGCATGGCTTTTACAAGTGTTGTCTGTTCAACATTTCCCTTCAGTATGGCTTTTACAAGTGTTGTCTGTTCAACGTTTCCCTTCAGTATGGCTTTTAGAAGTGTTGTCTGTTCAACGTTTCCCTTCAGTATGGCTTTTAGAAGTGTTGTCTGTTCAATTTTTCCCTTCAGTATGGCTTTTAGAAGTGTTGTCTGTACAACTTTTCCCTTCAGTATGGCTTTTACAAGTGTTGTCTGTTCAACGTTTCCCTTCAGTATGGCTTTTACAAGTGTTGTCTGTTCAACTTTTCCCTTCAGTATGGCTTTTACAAGTATTGTCTGTTCAACGTTTCCCTTCAGTATGGCTTTTACAAGTGTTGTCTGTTCAACGTTTCCATTCAGTATGGCTTTTACAAGTGTTGTCTGTTCAACGTTTCCCTTCAGTATGGCTTTTAGAAGTGTTGTCTGTTCAACGTTTCCCTTCAGTATGGCTTTTACAAGTGTTGTCTGTTCAACTTTTCCCTTCTGTATGGCTTTTACAAGTGTTGTCTGTTCAACGTTTCCCTTCAGTATGGCTTTTAGAAGTGTTGTCTGTTCAATGTTTCCCTTTAGTATGGCTTTTTGAAGTGTTGTCTGTTCAACTTTTCCCTTCAGTATGGCTTTTACAAGTGTTGTCTGTTCAACTTTTCCCTTCAGTATGGCTTTTTACAAGTGTTGTCTGTTCAACGTTTCCCTTCAGTATGGCTTTTACAAGTGTTGTCTGTTCAACGTTTCCCTTCAGTATGGCTTTTAGAAGTGTTGTCTGTTCAACTTTTCCCTTCAGTATGGCTTTTACAAGTGTTGTCTGTTCAACTTTTCCCTTCAGTATGGCTTTTACAAGTGTTGTCTGTTCAACATTTCCCTTCAGTATGGCTTTTACAAGTGTTGTCTGTTCAACGTTTCCCTTCAGTATGGCTTTTACAAGTGTTGTCTGTTCAACTTTTCCCTTCAGTATGGCTTTTACAAGTGTTGTCTGTTCAACGTTTCCCTTCAGTATGGCTTTTACAAGTGTTGTCTGTTCAACATTTCTCTTCAGTATGGCTTTTAGAAGTGTTGTCTGTTAAACTTTTCCCTTCAGTATGGCTTTTACAAGTGTTGTCTGTTCAACTTTTCCCTTCAGTATGGCTTTTACAAGTGTTGTCTGTTCAACTTTTCCCTTAAGTATGGCTTTTACAAGTGTTGTCTGTTCAACTTTCCCCTTCAGTATGGCTTTCACAAGTGTTGTCTGTTCAACTTTTCCCTTCAGTATGGCTTTTAGAAGTGTTGTCTGTTCAACTTGTCCCTTCAGTATGGCTTTTAGAAGTGTTGTCTGTTCAACTTGTCCCTTCAGTATGGCTTTTACAAGTGTTGTCTGTTCAACTTGTCCCTTCAGTATGGCTTTTACAAGTGTTGTCTGTTCAACGTTTCCCTTCAGTATGGCTTTTACAAGTGTTGTCTGTTCAACGTTTCCCTTCAGCATGGCTTTTACAAGTGTTGTCTGTTCAACGTTTCCCTTCAGTATGGCTGGTTCAAACTATGAAGCTGAAATAATTGCACTGGAAACAGCAGTATACCACCTAAAGACTGTAATGGATGTTTACCCCTCAAAGGTCCAAAATATTGTCATCTTCACAGATTCAATGTCTGCCCTTCAAGCTCTGGAGGGCAATGAACGCTGCAGAACTGACATAGCCAAGATAATCCTGGATGCCGATCAGCTTATTACCTCATACAACATCAGAATAGTGATGCAGTGGATTCCAGGTCACTCCGGCACACCAGGTAATGACAGAGCTGACAGATTGGCAAAGAAAGGAGCAACACAAGAACAACCACCTACAGCGACAACCCTCCAGACAGCAAAAAAACACTGATAAGAGCTATAAACAAAGAGACTTGGTTGAATAGATGGGCCATGGGAGACACTGGAAGAGAGGTTTATAGACATATGTCTGGCCCTGATCCTAATGACAGCATTAACCATCTAACAAGAAGGGACCAGGCCACCATCTTCAGACTTAGAACGCAACATACTCCACTCAATGGACACCTAAACAGAATACAGCCACAACACTCCCCAGAGTGCCAGCTATGTAACTACCCCTACGAAACTGTTGAACACCATCTCTTTGAGTGCCCAAAACTCAGTGAGACAAGAAGAACGCTACTCCCTCCGAGACCAGACAAGTGGAACACCTTGTACGGAGGAAAAGAACAGCTTGTGAAAACATGCAAATTCCACTACATGGCATTGGGCCAAAGGGCGAAAGCTCATGCGCCGCTGGATTGATAACAACAACAACAACAAGTGTTGTCTGTTCAACGTTTCCCTTCAGTATGGCTTTTACAAGTGTTGTCTGTTCAACGTTTCCCTTCAGTATGGCTTTTACAAGTGTTGTCTGTTATTGCGAACATAGTATAGACCTCTTTTACTTCTGTCAACAACTCTTTTCATTGCCAGGTTTTCCAGTAGCTAAATATTTGCCAACAACTCTTTTCATTGCCAGGTTTTCCAGTAGCTAAATATTTGCCAACAACTCTTTTCATTGCCAGGTTTTCCAGTAGCTAAATATTTGCCAACAACTCTTTTCATTGCCAGGTTTTCCAGTAGCTAAATATTTGCCAACAACTCTTTTCATTGCCAGGTTTTCCAGTAGCTAAATATTTGCCAACAACTCTTTTCATTGCCAGGTTTTCCAGTAGCTAAATATTTGCCAACAACTCTTTTCATTGCCAGGTTTTCCAGTAGCTAAATATTTGCCAACAACTCTTTTCATTGCCAGGTTTTCCAGTAGCTAAATATTTGCCAACAGCTCTTTTCATTCCCAGGTTTTCCAGTAGCTAAATATTTGCCAACAACTCTTTTCATTGCCAGGGTTTCCAGTAGCTAAATATTTGCCAACAACTCTTTTCATTGCCAGGGTTTCCAGTAGCTAAATATTTGCCAACAACTCTTTTCATTGCCAGGTTTTCCAGTAGCTAAATATTTGCCAACAGCTCTTTTCATTGCCAGGTTTTTCAGTAGCTAAATATTTGCCAACAACTCTTTTCATTGCCAGGTTTTTCAGAAGCTAAATATTTGCCACCAACTCTTTTCATTGCCAGTTTTTCCAGTAGCTAAATATTTGCCAACAACTCTTTTCATTCCCAGGTTTTTCAGAAGCTAAACATTTGCCAACAGCTCTTCTAATTTACAGCTTGTAACTTTTATGTACTGTAAGAATTGAAAAATGTACCCTTTTCCAAATGTTAGAAGAAAGAAATGCATCCTGATAAATCACTGAAACTACACTCTAAGAGAAGAGAGGAAGAGGAAAAAAAAAAAAAGAATTGTGGTGTCTTGTTCATTTTTTTTGCAAATCTAGGAGTTGAAACTTATGACCACCAAGAAGAGAGGAAAGAGTGACGGCCAGTGCAACACTCACCACGGAAGTCAAGCCACTTAAAAAAAAAAACAATTTTAATTTGTGTAGCTTCTATGTCAGGCAAAGGTAATTTTTTTTTTTTTTAAAGTTAAGGAAGTAAACAATAAATACAGAGGAACTAATTAATTACTTACCTTCTCTTTGGCAGTGAAAAGTGTTTTTGTGGATACAGTTACAAGGAGCAAAATGATGTCACAATGACATCACCACAAAATAAACAGCAATTTCTTTTACCCCTAATAAAATCTCCAATTTTGTCCAAGTGAATATCACCCTAGCCAGCATGTCTACACAACTATGCCGTTGCAAACAGTACTGAGGCTGTGACACAGGTTGAGTGGCCACAGCCCACAGATGTCAGGTTATCAAAAACCTTCACATACCGGCTGACATGGGGTGACAGGGTTATGGGTGGTGCAGTGGCTAGCATACCCAGTAGGTGTAGGTTTGTACCCCCTCAAGGTGAGGATTTACAAAAACAACTGACCTGGACTCCCAGGATAGCACTGATCACACACCCACTAAGTTGTGTGGCATCTGAACATACAAGAGCACCATTTACTCAACAGACCATAAGACTCAAAAAAAAAAAAGGATAACTTACTATATCCCGGAATGGTTGAATAGGATATAAGCGACAGCAATACATATATTTTTTTTTTAAATCAACAAAGAAGAAATAAAGACAGAAATGAGAGTATGAAAGCTTGACATGTGGAATTATTGCAATCATTGGAAAGTGTGAATTTAGAATGAATATAAAGCTTTCTAGAGCAGAAGGCATGCATGAATGAAGGAATAAAGAAATAACAAAATACAGACTTGATTCTAATATATGGATCAACAGAAGCTGAGACAAGAGGACACAATAAGTGATGTTACCTTCATATCTGTGCCAGGCAGCCTACCCACTCCATCAGTCCACTCCAGAAGGTTGGAGTCTATGAAGCCTTCTGTCAGAACTGCAGCTTCATTGTCCGCATTTTCTTTATTGCAAGAAGGTACAGACACCTCGGCCATCTTCTGGTCTGTGCACAGAAGAGAAGGTCAGAATCTAAGATACAGGATGATTGTAGGAATCAAAGATATAGGATGATTGAAGGAATCAAAGATATAGGATGATTGAAGGAATCAAAGACATAGGATGATTGAAAGAATCAAAGATATAGGATTATAGCTACAATATACAGTATATGATATCTGCAAGAATCTAAGCTATGGGGTTACAGCTATATTTTAGACTATTGCAAGAATCTAAGCAACAGGACTGCAAGAATCTAAGCAACAGAATGACTGCAATTCATAGATTATAGCTAGAATCCAAGCTATAGGAGGACTGCAAGTCTCTAAGCTATAGGATTATAGCTAGAATCCAAGCTATAGGATGATTGCAAGTCTCTAAGCTATAGGATTATAGCTAGAATCTAGCACCTTTCCGTCTCTCCAGACAACAGTGTTATACTGTGCTATGGGTAGGCATGAGAACCACACCATGGCTATGGCCAGTGCCAATAACAAGACCCACCTGTGTTAAGAACAGTCTTCCAAAATTAGCGAATGTGATTCCATGACCGCTTTTGCTATCACATGTGTTTCTCAATCACTGTTCCTGTATTCCAATTCCCTTCCTGATTTCCTCCTCCAATCAACCCTGCCTGTGTGTTCCTCTTTCCCATAACACACAGTTTAGGCAGAGACCATGTGTTGCCCATGCATCATCGTGATTCCTCCTGTCTTGTTTACTCCAAAGGAAAGGTAACAACAATACATTTGGAACAAAGCACGCTGCAGAAGCTGCCAGATCACAACAGCAGCGCCTGTATGACTTCCCTCCAATTAAAATTGCGAGCCAAGTTTAATGGCCTAGACTGTCCCACTATAACATCAAGTTTTTAGGTTGCATTTCTTCCTAGTATAAGGCTAGTATGTGCTCCTTCTCTCTAGGCAGCGGGAACAATGCGGGATGTCAGGTTTCGTATACACCACCAAACATTTGACGTCAACAGAAAACAGGTAGTACCTACTACTGTTATATGGTAGTTCAGTCATATCTGACCAAGACATGGTCATCACTATCATGTGATCTACACTACAAACACTTACCATCATTCTCGCTGGCAGCTACCAGCGGCAAGCCTGGCAAGGTGAGAACAGAGATGTTTCCTCCCATACCTGGCACAGCCTGCGTGGGGGTCACAGATGACAGAGCAGCTGCAGGCACGGTTGCAACATATGTCACACTTCTTGGTGTCGTGTCACTGTCAGAGACAGCAGTGCCAGTCAGAGGACCATTTAGACTGTCAATATCTGCTGGTGATGTCAGTGTGGAGCAGCTATTTGCTAGGACAGGACTGTCGTAAGCAGGGACTGACAATGTCTGCGAAACCTATCCAGAAAGCAAAGAAAAACTCAAGCAATCACAGCATTACAATAACAACACAGGAGAAACTGCCGCAAAAATCACCAGTAACAGCTAAAGCCCAATGAAACTTTCTAGTGCGCCTGTTTGCCAACATGAAAGTTTGGTGTTGAATTTTTAGTGACGAGCATAGAGATCTTTTTGGTCTTTTCTACCCTAGGGTGAAGCAGCCCCACAAGACTTGCTTACTTCAGCCTGCTTCTACTCTAGGGTGTAGCAGCCCCACCAGACTTGCTTACTTCAGCCTGCTTCTACTCTAGGGTGAAGCAGCCCCACCAGACTTGCTAACTTCAGCCTGCTTCTACTCTAGGGTGAAGCAGCCCCACCAGACTTGCTTACTTCAGCATGCTTCTACTCTAGGGTGAAGCAGCCCCACCAGACTTGCTTACTTCAGCATGCTTCTACTCTAGGGTGAAGCAGCCCCACCAGACTTGCTAACTTCAGCCTGCTTCTACTCTAGGGTGTAGCAGCCACACCAGACTTGCTAACTTCAGCCTGCTTCTACTCTAGGGTCTAGAGATCCACCAAGAGCTTGTTTAGCCTGTTTTCTACAGGACTGTAATAGTTTAGTCTCTCCAGTCTTATTCACCTTAGTCATCTTCTACTCTCTGGACCTGAGATGCATCCAGAAATTAATCCAGTGAACTGTGACTGAAAAGCTCAATGATATGGGGAAGCAGAACAATGTCTACAAAATGGAACACTACACACCTGTCTCACTACACACCTGTCTCACTACACACCTGTCTCACCACACACCTGTCTCACTACACACCTGTCTCACTACACACCTGTCTCACCACACACCTGTCTCACTACACACCTGTCTCACTACACACCTGTCTCACTACACACCTGTCTCACTATAGTTTTATTCAGTAGCACTTCTCCTTTCTACTAATGCCAGAGAGATCTTTGCTGCTGCCAAGGCCCAGGACTACTATGGCAGTAAGTGGCTATGCTACTACTCTACAATAAAAATACACCAGCACTCCAAGTCATGTATACATAAAAATATGTCCCTATACTCAAACACTAAGATATATACAGAGATGTCCCTACACTCAAACACTAAGATATATACAGAGATGTCCCTATACTCAAACACTAAGATATATACAGAGATGTCCCTATACTCAAACACTAAGATATATACAGAGATGTCCCTATACTCAAACACTAAGATATATACAGAGATGTCCCTATACTCAAACACTAAGATATATACAGAGATGTCCCTATACTCAAACACTAAGATATATACAGAGATGTCCCTATACTCAAACACTAGATACATATAAAGAAGTCCCTATACTCAAACACTAAGATATATACAGAGATGTCCCTACACTCAAACACTAGATACATATAAAGAAGTCCCTATACTCAAACACTAGATATATACAGAGATGTCCCTACACTCAAACACTAGATACATATAAAGAAGTCCCTATACTCAAACACTAGATATATACAGAGATGTCCCTACACTCAAACACTAGATACATATAAAGAAGTCCCTATACTCAAACACTAAGATATATACAGAGATGTCCCTATACTCAAACACTAGATACATATAAAGAAGTCCCTATACTCAAACACTAAGATATATACAGAGATGTCCCTACACTCAAACACTAGATACATATAAAGAAGTCCCTATACTCAAACACTAAGATATATACAGAGATGTCCCTACACTCAAACACTAGATACATATAAAGAAGTCCCTATACTCAAACACTAAGATATATACAGAGATGTCCCTACACTCAAACACTAGATACATATAAAGAAGTCCCTATACTCAAACACTAAGATATATACAGAGATGTCCCTACACTCAAACACTAGATACATATAAAGAAGTCCCTATACTCAAACACTAAGATATATACAGAGATGTCCCTACACTCAAACACTAGATACATATAAAGAAGTCCCTATACTCAAACACTAAGATATATACAGAGATGTCCCTACACTCAAACACTAGATACATATAAAGAAGTCCCTATACTCAAACACTAAGATATATACAGAGATGTCCCTACACTCAAACACTAGATACATATAAAGAAGTCCCTATACTCAAACACTAAGATATATACAGAGATGTCCCTACACTCAAACACTAGATACATATAAAGAAGTCCCTATACTCAAACACTAAGATATATACAGAGATGTCCCTACACTCAAACACTAGATACATATAAAGAAGTCCCTATACTCAAACACTAAGTTATATACAGAGATGTCCCTACACTCAAACACTAGATACATATAAAGAAGTCCCTATACTCAAACACTAAGATATATACAGAGATGTCCATACACTCAAACACTAGATACATATAAAGAAGTCCCTATACTCAAACACTAAGATATATATAGACAGATATATATAGAGATGTCGCTACACTCAAACACTAGACACATAAAGGTATATAAAGACAGTAATCAATGAAGACAAACGGAGCGAAGCATTCAATGGAAAATACTCGCTGAGGTCCTAAACATGTATCAGCTGGGACTGGTGACGTCAGCCTATGACATGTGACACTGAGGCACAAATTCAAGCGATGGTGTTAGACAGAACCTAAACATGTATCAGGTGACTGGTGACGTCAGCCTATGACACGTGACACTGAGGCACAAATTCAAGCTATGGTGTTAGAGAGAATCTAAACATGTATCAGGTGACGTCAACCTATGACATGTGACACTGAGGCACACAGCGATGATGTTAACCAGACAGAATCTAAACATGTATCAGGTGACGTCAGCCTGCGACATGTGACACTGAGGCACAAATCGATGATGTTAGACAGAACCTAAACATGTATCAGGTGACGTCAGCCTGTGACATGTGACACTGAGGCACAAATCGATGATGTTAGACAGAACCTAAACATGTATCAGGTGACGTCAGCCTGTGACATGTGACACTGAGGCACAAAGCGATGATGTTAACCAGACAGAACCTAAACATGTATCAGGTGACGTCAGCCTGTGACATGTGACACTGAGACACAAAGCAATGATGTTAGACAGAACCTAAACATGTATCAGGTGACGTCAGCCTGTGACATGTGACACTGAGGCACAAAGCAATGATGTTAGAATCTAAACATGTATCAGGTGACGTCAGCCTGTGACATGTGACACTGAGGCACAAAGCGATGATGTTAGACAGAATCTAAACATGTATCAGGTGACGTCAGCCTGTGACATGTGACACTGAGGCACAAAGCGATGATGTTAGACAGAACCTTTCCTAAACAGACCACTGTGGCAATGCCAGGTTTTCTGTATTTATGGGAATGAAAGCCATATAGAGATGCTGTGTTTGCGGCAAAAGGATTAAACTGTCCTTGTTTGGCCTGACTTTCTAAGAGAGTTTACTTTGCTCAGTTTATTGGCTGACCCTCTTATATAGTGGCAATGCCACCCAGTCTATGTGCTAACTCACTGCCCACAACACCTGTAAATCCTGTCTTAGACATGCCGTGGTACCAGATGAATGTTGGTCTAATCATACACACTCTAGCTTGGCTGGGGATGGTTTTGTATTGACTAAATAACCTAGTCAATCCTTTTGTTTCATACCTGGGAGTGTGCAGCTAGAACTGTTGATGCGTCATGAACTTCTGGAGTAGCCTGATATTTGACCACTTCACAGGCTGGTGACAGGTCAGCTGGCTGGATCTGACCAGCACTTGCTGCAGCAGCATTAGATGTGACTGAGGTCACTGCCTCACTGCCTGTGTTAACAGAGCCTGGTGAGGTCATTGTCATGGCTGCAGTGCCTCCTTCCTGTTGTGCCTGTATTGAGGATGGCAGAGATGTGGTTAGCAAGAACATAGAACTGGACACAGCTGCAGGCACATGACCAGGAATATATGTTGTAGTGGCTGCACTGACTCCAGCCAGGCCTGGGAGATGAGAGGCAGTCACATGACCAGGAATATGTGTTGTAGTGGCGGCACTGACTCCAGCCAGGCCTGGGAGATGAGAGGCAGTCACATGACCAGGAATATGTGTTGTAGTGGCGGCACTGACTCCAGCCAGGCCTGGGAGATGAGAGGCAGTCACATGACCAGGACTATGTGTTGTAGTGGCGGCACTGACTCCAGCCAGGCCTGGGAGATGAGAGGCAGTCACATGACCAGGAATATGTGTTGTAGTGGCGGCACTGACTCCAGCCAGGCCTGGGAGATGAGAGGCAGTCACATGACCAGGAATATGTGTTGTAGTGGCGGCACTGACTCCAGCCAGGCCTGGGAGATGAGAGGCAGTCACATGACCAGGAATATGTGTTGTAGTGGCGGCACTGACTCCAGCCAGGCCTGGGAGATGAGAGGCAGCCACAGTTGACACTATTTGACTCTCATGTCGAGGTAGCTGTGCATTTTCCACACATGCAACCTGAAAATGGGAATTCATTACATTAGGGAGGTAGACAATACATAACTAGGGAGGTACATAATACATAACTAGGGAGGTACATAATACATAACTAGGGAGGTACACAATACATAACTAGGGAGGTACATAATACATAACTAGGGAGGTACACAATACATAACTAGGGAGGTACATAATACATAACTAGGGAGGTACACAATACATAACTAGGGAGGTACACAATACATAACTAGGGAGGTACATAATACATAACTAGGGAGGTACATAATACATAACTAGGGAGGTACATAATACATAACTAGGGAGGTACATAATACATAACTAGGGAGGTACATAATACATAACTAGGGAGGTACATAATACATAACTAGGGAGGTACATAATACATAACTAGGGAGGTACATAATACATAACTAGGGAGGTACATAATACATAACTAGGGAGGTACATAATACATAACTAGGGAGGAACATAATACATAACTAGGGAGGTACATAATACATAACTAGGGAGATACATAATACATAACTAGGGAGGTACATAATACATAACTAGGGAGGTACACAATACATAACTAGGGAGGTACATAATACATAACTAGGGAGGTACATAATACATAACTAGGGAGGTACACAATACATAACTAGGGAGGTACATAATACATAACTAGGGAGGTACACAATACATAACTAGGGAGGTACATAATACATAACTAGCAAAGTACGTAACTACATGTGATGAAGAGGAACAAAGAAGCACATGATGTTTGCCCCACATTACATGTGTCTGGTATCGTGGCCAGAATCTGCACACATCACATTTTTCAATGAGAGAAATCATTTTTTCCCAAACAACATTTATTATCAATTTTACACACCTCCATTCCCTTACAACATCTGAAAATATTCCTAAGTTTATAACATTCCGTATCTAAACACTTATTTTCACAAGCAGAACTGGGAAGAATGTTTTGGTTGACGACAGTACTGTGTCTGGCTTACAACATCATTTCTGGTTGATGACAGTACTTTGTCTGGCTTACAACATTTCTGGTTGACAACAGTACTGTGTCTGGCTTACAACATTTCTGGTTGACGACAGTACTGTGTCTGGCTTACAACATTTCTGGTTGACGACAGTACTGTGTCTGGCTTACAACATCATTTCTGGTTGACGACAGTACTGTGTCTGGCTTACAACATTTCTGGTTGATGACAGTACTGTGTCTGGCTTACAACATTTCTGGTTGATGATAGTACTGTGTCTGGCTTACAACATTTCTGGTTGATGATTTTACTGTGTCTGGCTTACAACATCACTTCTGGTTGATGACAGTACTGTGTCTGGCTTACAACATCACTTCTGGTTGATGACAGTACTGTGTCTGGCTTACAACATTTCTGGTTGATGACAGTACTGTGTCTGGCTTACAACATCATTTCTGGTTGATGACAGTACTGTGTCTGGCTTACAACATCACTTCTGGTTGATGACAGTACTGTGTCTGGCTTACAACATCACTTCTGGTTGATGACAGTACTGTGTCTGGCTTACAACATCACTTCTGGTTGATGACAGTACTGTGTCTGGCTTACAACATCATTTCTGGTTGATGACAGTACTGTGTCTGGCTTACAACATCATTTCTGGTTGATGACAGTACTGTGTCTGGCTTACATCATTTCTGGTTGACGACAGTACTGTGTCTGGCTTACAACATCATTTCTGGTTGACAACAGTACTGTGTCTGGCTTACAAAATCACTTCTGGTTGACGACAGTACTGTGTCTGGCTTACAACATTTCTGGTTGACGACAGTACTGTGTCTGGCTTACATCATCATTTCTGGTTGACGACAGTACTGTGTCTGGCTTACATCATTTCTGGTTGATGACAGTACTGTGTCTGGCTTACAACATCATTTCTGGTTGACGACAGTACTGTGTCTGGCTTACATCATTTCTGGTTGACGACAGTACTGTGTCTGGCTTACATAATTTCTGGCTGATGACAGTACTGTGTCTGGCTTACAACAACATTTCTGGTTGACGACAGTACTTTGTCTGGCTTACAACATCATTTCTGAGTCTGTTTTTCTCTGATTATATATCTCTTATTAGCACACACACACACACATGTCAGCGTTGTTTACATTATTTCACTCTTACTTAATGAGACCCCTTGACACCTGTGAAACTTACTTTCATCACTGAATGAGACCCCTTGACACCTGTGAAACTTACTTTCATCACTGAATGAGACCCCTTGACATCTGTGAAACTTACTTTCATCACTGAATGAGACCCCTTGACACCTGTGAAACTTACTTTCATCACTGAATGAGACCCCTTGACACCTGTGAAACTTACTTTCATCACTGAATGAGACCCCTTGACACCTGTGAAACTTACTTTCATCACTGAATGAGACCCCTTGACACCTGTGAAACTTACTTTCATCACTGAATGAGACCCCTTGACACCTGTGAAACTTACTTTCATCACTGAATGAGACCCCTTGACACCTGTGAAACTTACTTTCATCACTGAATGAGACCCCTTGACACCTGTGAAACTTACTTTCATCTTAGTCTTAGTCAAGGTTTCCACTTCACTGCAATCCAGTTTCACCAGACTTGCTTTGTTTCTATACCAGTACAAATCAAATGAAATGTCTCTCACTGTCCCATCCGATAAAACCGGTGAATGAACAATTAGTTCAGGAACAATCCAAATATATGCACATGCAGTAAATGCATATGGCAGTTGCTAGAGGTGCCAAAGCTAACAGTCACCACTAGAAATGCAGTTTGTCATTGTTGGAAGTAGTCGGGCTTGATAAGCTGGCTATACACATGTGGAATTATTACAGAAGGTATTTGACCAGCTCACGCGTAAACCAGCTACTGGCCATATTGAATACCCCGCCACAACCGCCGCACAAATGAAAGGCATAACACACGAAAAACACAGCTCACCCGTAAACCGGCTACCGACAAATTGAATACCACGACATAACCACTGCACAAATGAAAAGCATTCCACATGAAAATAACACAGCTCACATGGCTGCTTTCATCTGATACAGCCATGTCCTACTTTGTTTCGGCATTTCGATAAAATGGGGTTTCCCCTAACCTCTAACAGACTATGAAATTAACTTATACAATGCTAGAACAGAACATTACAAAATCACAGGAGAGTTTCACCTGGCCAACTGGTGGTGTCGCAGCCCTGGGTGTAGGAGGCGGCTGGCTGTAGCTGCTAACATTTGTTGGCGACATCAGGACCGCAGTGAAGACAACACCAGAAGATGTGTGGTTGGTGCTAGTGGTCTGGACTACCTCAACATTCTTGCCAGGTAGAACAGTTGACTGGCTCTGTAACTATAAATACACACAGTTAACACCAAAATGTCTGTATATTTCCCCAGAAATCAAAGACTATACATCTCAAAGACATATTTTTCCAGAAAAGACCATACATTTCATAGGCATATTTTTCCAACAATCAAAGACTTTACATCTGATAGTCATATTTTTCCAGGAATAAAAAACTATATATCTGATCGGCATATTTTACCAGGAATCAAAGACTATATACATCTGACAGGAATATTTGTTCAGGAATCAAAGACTATGAGTTAGATTATCTTCACAGCACTCCGGACACATACATAGGCGCTCAGATTCCCCTCTCAGCATATTCATCAGTGTCGCCCGGGTTGCCCGGTTAATAGTGCCAGTCCTATGTTGGTTGAAAAGACTTTGTACGCATCTGGTGTGCTTCTCATGCTTGGCTGTGCCGATCTTTACTCCCTATTCTCGTATTCTTAGCAGTAATGTGGACATGTTGCTTCCAAAATCCTACGAACACCCGATCTCTCTAAGGCATTGACAATGTCTGCGTGATTTATGAGCTGGCCATCTTCAATTAATGGATCACCTGCTAGTCTATCGGTTCTGTCATTACCAACAACACGTGTACGCCCTGGGACGAATGAGAAGGTAACTGCAAACACAGAAGAGTTTTGCAGTGAATTAAAGTCTATATACAGCTGATAGGCATACTTTTCCAGGACTCATAGACTATTTATCTGATAGACATATTTTTCCAAGAATCAAAGAATATATACAGCTGTCAGGCATATTTTTTCCAGGAATCAAAGACTATACAGCTGATAGGCATATTTTTCCAGGACTCATAGACTATTCATCTGATAGGCATATTTTTGCAGGAATCAAAGAATATATACAGCTGATAGGCATATTTTCCCAGGAATCAAAGACTATACAGCTGAAAGGCATATTTTTCCAGAAATCAAAGACTATACAGGCATATTTTCCTAGAAATCAAAGAGTACATACATGAACATGTTTACAGGAAACAAAGACTATACAGGTGCATTTCTCCAGGAATAAAAGACTATAAGTATTAAGTCCAACAAGAAATACTGTAGTTATTTCAATAAAAAATATTGTAGCTAGTCGAGAAAGAAATATTATTTAGTTCAATATGACACTTTAACTAGTTTTCCCATGTGTGTTCCATGAAAAAAAAAGTGGGTTGGGGGGAAAGCCATTTTGTCTCTAAAAGCATGTCATTAATATCAGGGGACTGAGATGTTTGGGTTGACACCACAACATTTATGCACCAACAACTCTTTTATAGGCAATACAGGAGAAGTTTATCAGTTTAATCAGAAATACTGAATTATTCACGTGAAATACTACACATAATTAGAAAAAGAAAACTGTAACCAGTCAAACTAAGAACTACTACTTCTTTCATTTGCTTGCGATAAATATCTATACTAACAATGCTGTCTCTAGTTTGAACTTCACTGTCTTTCATAATTCACTTCGTGACCAATACAATTTAGCTTCTGCCAGTGTCTCTCTTGGCCTGTTTTGCCTGGAAATGTATCTGGGACAGTAAGAACTACTGTAACCAGTCAAACTAAGAACTATTGTAACCAGTCAAACTAAGAACTATTGTAACCAGTCAAACTAAGAACTACTGTAACCAGTCAAATTAAGAACCATGTAACCAGTCAAACTAAGAACTACTGTAACAAGTCAAATTAAGAACCATGCAACCAGTCAAACAAAGAACTACTGTAACCAGTCAAACTAAGAACTACTGTAACAAGTCAAATTAAGAACCATGTAACCAGTCAAACTAAGAACTATTGTAACCAGTCAAACTAAGAACTACTGTAACCAGTCAAAATAAGAACCATGTAACCAGTCAAACTAAGAACTATTGTAACCAGTCAAACTAAGAACTACTGTAACCAGTCAAACTAAGAACTATTGTAACCAGTCAAACTAAAAACTACTGTAACCAGTCATATTAAGAACCATGTAACCAGTCAAACTAAGAACTATTGTAACCAGTCAAACTAAGAACTACTGTAACCAGTCAAACTAAGAACTACTGTAACAAGTCAAACTAAGAACTACTGTAACCAGTTAAATTAAGAACCATGTAACCAGTCAAACTAAAAACTACTGTAACAAGTCAAATTAGGAACTACTGTAACCAGTCAAACTGAAAACTACTGTAACCAGTCAAACTAAGAACTACTGTAACAAGTCAAATTAAGAACCATGTAACCAGTCAAACTAAGAACTATTGTAACCAGTTAAATTAAGAACCATGTAACCAGTCAAACTAAAAACTACTGTAACAAGTCAAATTAGGAACTACTGTAACCAGTCAAATTAAGAACTAGTGTAACCAGAACTGACCACAGTTTTGACTACAGGATTGATGACTTGTGGCACTTGCACAGTGATGTGCCCCCCGCAGCTAGATGTCAGTGACATCATAGGTTTATGTATCAGGCGAGGTCCTGCACTGCACTGGATCAATTGTGGTCGTCCAGCAAAGGTCAAAGCCTGAGGTAAAACCACTGGGATTGCAGTCCGAATAACCTGTCCTTGAGAGATGGAGGATGCAGGCCACACAACATGCTGACCTGTGGCCGTGCCCTGGCTGGACGTTGTCGAGGTTGCTGTCTGCAGAACTGATGTGCCAGGTGAGATTGAGGTAACTGTGAAGGTCATCCCTGTAGAAGGTACGCTTGCAATATACGCAACAGGTGGCCGAGGCTGAATAGAGATTGGCTGTCCATTAACGAGCGTAGCTGTGCCTAGGTGAGAGGCTGACCCTACAATTGTGGCTGTTCCTACTGGTGAAGTTGCTCGCAGATGACCCCCAACTGACTGGGTGGCTTGCAGTGACACTGTAGCTGGTGAGCTCGAAGCTATCTGCTGGGAAACAACAGCTGAATTAGGTAAACACTGAATAAAACTGGGCTGACTACCAGTGGATACGTGCTGAGCAACCAAAGGACTGACAGCTCTCTGAATGGTCAATGACTGACCGCTGGTATTGGTGACTCGCAGTCCCATCTGCTGGGCTTGCGATACTGTAACCAGGGTAGGTGCTGCAGATTTCTGAAAGTGATGAACATTGCTGAAATTTGATATGACTGGACGGTGAAGGCCTGCGGCTACTGTGCTCACAGCTCTGGGTGAGATGGTTTTCCCTGGACTGGGGGACCCATGCTGAATCAGCTGCTGGTTTGCTATCTGAGTCACATTCCCCAGTGGAAGATGCTGGCCTGAAATACACAAGATAGATTCAGCCTTTCTGACACAGAATGCTTTTTTAAAACTTTTTTTTAATCAACAGGCTAAGCCTGAATGTGAATTTATCCAAAATAGACCTCACAGGCTAGATCTGAAAGTGTATTTACCCAATCTATACCTCACAGGCTAGATCTGAAAGTGTATTTACCCAATCTAAACCTCACAGGCTAGATCTGAAAGTGTATTTACCCAATCTATACCTCACAGGCTAGATTTGAAAGTGTATTTACCCAATCTGTACCTCACAGGCTAGATCTGAAAGTGTATTTACTCAGCCTATACCTCACAGGCTAGATCTGAATGTGAATTTAATAAATCTATACCTCACAAGCTAGGTCTGAAAGTGAATTTACCCAATCTACACCTCACAGGCTAGATCTGAAAGTGAATTTACCCAATCTATACCTCACAGGTTAGATCTGAAAGTGAATTTACCCAATCTAAACCTCACAGGTTAGATCTGAAAGTGAATTTACTCAGCCTATACCTCACAGGCTAGATCTGAAAGTGAATTTACCCAATCTAAACCTCACAGGTTAGATCTGAAAGTGAATTTACTCAGCCTATACCTCACAGGCTAGATCTGAAAGTAAATTTACCCAATCTATACCTCACAGGCTAGGCCTGAAAGTGAATTTTCCCAATCTATACCTCACAGGATAGGACTGAAAGTGAATTTACCCCACAGAGGCTAGGTCTGAAAGTGAATTTACCCAATCTATACCACACAGGCTAGGTCTGAAAGTGAATTTACCCCACAGAGGCTAGGTCTGAAAGTGAATTTACCCAATCTGTACCACATAGGCTAGGTCTGACAAGGAGTTTACCCAATCTGTACCACTCAGGCTAGGTCTGAAAGGAAATTTACCTAATCTATTCCCCATAGGCTAGTCTACAAGTTAATTTACCCAATCCGCGGTGATTTATGTCACAGGCGTGAGGGGAAGTTAAGTCCAACATGATGTGTATAAGGAGATATTCCGTACGTCACTCGGGCGCCAGTCCTTTACTATCCTGGTTGTACGGAACCTCACGCAAGACCCCTACAGCACGTCCTCGTCGTGCGCCATGGATAATGTCTCAAATGAGCATTAACAGAGCTGTCAGGGGATCTCGGAGTTTGGCGGCCCCCAGAGGTGATGTGTCCTTGTGGCTCTCATCAGCCCGCCCCCAAACGCTTGGGTGAAAAATGTTATCAAAACTCATTAGGAACATGAGTAAGTTTGCCAAACGTACAGCCAAAATTACAACCCTTGGTTAAAAGACTGCGGAGTAAAGAGAACACTGTTCACTGCACATCCTCTGTTAACCCTCAGTGTCGTCGTCACCGCGCTGAGGTATACACCACAACAGCAACCATCCATAGGCTGGCCATCCTTGTACATCCTCGGTTAACCCTCAGTGTCGTCGTCACCGGCGCTGAGGTACAGCACAACAGCAACCATCCATCGGATGGCTAAGCCTAAATGTCCGACAAAACTAGATCCTACGGATCAAAATCTGACCATCAAAATTTGTATTGAACTGAAAAAGACCGAATGTCCACACCCAAAGACCCCACTCGCCCGAGTGTTGGGACAAAACTGATAACGATATGTCTGATGCAGGATGTAAAATTCTGTCGGGCTAACGGCTCGTCAAAGAAATTTAACGTGCGAAGAAAAAAAAAAAGAATGCACCTATCTGTGTGGTCACAAAAGTCCAAAACCCACGGGCTGCTCCCCGCTGACTTCCAGAGGGCGCAGACCCTGTCGAGCGGGAGGCCTGATACGGTTGTGAGGTTAAGCAGGCATGTGCAGGACGTGACGATTCCTTGGGTGAGCCCAGAACCAGAGCGCCATGTGCCGGCTCTGCATGCATGGAAGCCTCCTTGGATGGCGGGGAATGTCCATGATCTGCCCCTGCCTTCCCTTGAGGGCTAACTGTTCCACAGGGGGCTGCCCCAAAGGGGTACTCCGGGGGCAATACCTGCGGCTAAGGAGACAAAGTGGACACCACACAAGTCAGGCAACGTCTCGACCAACACAAAACAATGGCCACAGTCACCCTAGAAATAGGCCTGACGTCTTCCTTCGAAGTCGGAGTACAGCTGCCCAGGAGGCAGGGAAATTAAAAACGGTTGTACACGCAAAAATCAGGTCCAGGTAAAAGCCAAAAGTCCAAGCGGACGATTATCCTGGACCTTCCACTGGAATTCACAGCCAGTGATCGATAAAAAAAAAAAAAAAAAAAAAAAAATTTTACCCAATCTATTCCTCATAGGCTAGGTCTAAAAGTTAATTTACCCAAGCTTTATCACATAGGCTAGAGCATATGGAGGTCTGACATTGAACATTCCACTTGCAGCAATTGTCATGAGACTTATCTTTGACTGCTAAAGCACAAGGCTCTGACTGTCATCACCTGTGTTTGAGTTAATTCAGGCCTACTAGAAGACAACTGAGACTTAACACAGAGTTTGAAGCAACCCCATGTGCTCAGGTACCGTGTGTAAACTTGCTATCAGACAAATGCACACCCAGGAGGTAAGTGCTCATGGCAGATCATCTATTCTCTGACACAGAGAGTTGGGGGGTCAGCAGTAGTCAAGGAGTGGCAAAGATGACTGAACACACTGTAACACATATCAATGATGCTGACAGTAAACAGAAGATTATGGACACAAGAAGCATTTGGTACTTGCTGAAATATCCCTGGCTGAACATTTTCATACAACTATGTACTTGATGTTGGCACTATACTCATAATACAAATTGTTTGCTGGCAACACATACATTCTGAGCAAACATATTCACACCATAAACCTTTATCTGCAACACACACTAAACAAATTCACACTCCAGACCTTTGCTGGTAACACACACACTAAACAAATGCACACCCTAAACCTTTGATGGTAACACACACACACATACACTAAACAAATGCACACCCTAAACCATAGGCAGTAACACACACACACATACACTAAACAAATACACACCCTAAACCATACGTGGTAACACACACATTGAGCAAATCCACACCCTGAACCCTTGACTGTAACACATATAAACTGAAAAAATTCACACCCGAAACTGTTTCTGGTAACACATACACACTGAACAAATTCATACAAACACTCCTTTCTGGTAATGCATACATACACAACAAATTCACATCCCAAACCTTTGCTGATACTCTCACACTAAACAAATTCACACTCCGAACCTTTGCTGATACACACACACTGAACAAATTCACACCCCAAACCTTCGCTGATACACACACACTGAACAAATTCACAACCCAAATCTTTGCTGATACACACACACTGAACAAATTCACAACCCAAATCTTTGCTGATACACACACATACTGAACAAATTCACACCCCAAACCTTTGCTGATAAACACACACATAATGAACAAATTCACATCCCAAACCTCTGCTGATACACACACACTGAACAAATTCACACCCCAAACCTTTGCTGATACACACACACTGAACAAATTCACACCCCAAACCTCTGCTGATACACACACACGCACAAAACAAA